GAATCTTTCTCTGCCCTGGCTTTACTTGCTCCACCACCGCTTCTGGATGTGGGACAGGTTCTTGGGAACTTATAAACATATTTTATCTCTCTGATTTAAATGTTGGGAACCAGTGCTGTCAGATGACACTACTGTGTTGTAAAGCATAATAATTTCCCTGGTTGTCTGCCTTTGTCCTTCAGAGCCAGAGGACACTGGTCACAAACAAACCCGTCCACAGGCCCGATGAGAAGCAGTAAACCAACATTTCCATAGGGAGTTGGCATTCCACGCTCCACTGATATGCCTGTAGTGCATGCATTTTAATGTGGTGCACCTCTCAAAATGGGCCGCCGCTGGACCGATGTTTGCATTCAGCTAAAACTCTTGTAGTCAGCAACTCTGTGCATACTATAACTCATAATGAGTCGCCTATACTGTGCATGTAAAGTAGACTGCATGTTCTTCAGTGTTCTCTCTTCTCTTGAAGCCATCAACTTTGCACCAGAATAGTACACTTCCTTGAGTGTATGTACTGTTTGTATTTTGAAGCAGACTAAGTAGTTGCTCTAGGCCTCTTTGTAAAATTAAAATGCAAAATCAAAGACTGCAAACAAGACTGTAAGAGGCTACAGCCATGCTAGCCGCTCTGTGAGGCTAAGCACAGCAGTGCTATGAGCTCAATGCTAAAGTCAGTATGCTAACAATGACAATGCTAGCATGTGGATGTTTATAAGGGACAATGTTTACCATGCTCGCCATCTTAGGTTGTAGCTAGTAGGTTAGTTAGCAGTAAGTACCGCTGTGGCTGATGGGAATTGCAAGTTTTTGCATGCCCTCCAGGGCCTCGCTGCTAGCATCACTATAAACTACATTTACTGAAATACAGTAACAGTTGACTTCTTGCTGGCCCGGCCTTGCCCACTCTTCTAGCATGCCATGTGGACCTGTCACTGCTCCTATAATGTCCATACCAGTCAATGACCTACAGTAATAATTGTGATATATGACCAAAGACGTAGCACCTTGGTCGCTGACCTTTGCCACAATCCCATACTGGGCAACCTTCACCACCACACCCCACCCTTCCCCTTCTTCAAACCAGTCCTTATCGGGGGGGGGGGGTGCTCCATCCTCCCTCTCTCCCCCTCATCCCTGCATCTCGTCGTTGGCTCGATGTATTCGGCTCGCCACACTCCACTGGCTCCATGAATGTTAATGTCGGGACGTGGATGAGGGAGGGAGGGGTGGCTGCTTGGTAGAGGGAGCAGCTTCACCTGGTCTGCAATGCACAGCTATAAGGAGCTTTTTGCATGCATGTAATGCTTCATATTGGCTAAGCTGAGTTTCTCTTATGTTACAGTAATATCAGTGATCAATCTACAGTATCAACCTATAGCAACCTAGTTATTGTCTATACTCAGCTGCTGCATAATATGGATTTTTCCATTTGAAGATGAAAACAGATATTTCTTGAGGGAGTTTTGTTGTTGGGTCTGTCTATTATCAAAATAAAAACTGTATTTTTTTTAAATTCTTTTTAACATTTTCTTGGTGATTAGCTCTTAAGCCCTCTGTCTTCCGATGCTTTCTGTCTCTTCTGTCTGCAGCAGATTTGTCTGCTTGTGAATTAGCCCTTCTCTCTGTCATCCCGGCGTTCAGTTAGTCAGCCAGTGTTTACCAAGCTCTGACAGAATGAGAATGTATGCATTATGTGGTGATGATCACAGGGTGTTGTAATCTTTGACCCTTGTGGCACGTTTCAAACGGAGATTGAACATTAAGCCTCTCATGCAGCTGGCTCACAGGCTGCCTTCCTGCCCCTGGAGAGATTCACTGCCTGACTATAACTCTGCAGGCCGGCACCCCTGCATTAAAGATACAATACATCATTTATTTTCATTTGTGATCTATAGATGGAGATTGCTTTCCAGAAATTCAGTTTGCCCTTTGTTATTTAAGTCCATCAAACATTATAAATCAGGAAAGCCTTGAAATGCATGGGGAAATCTCACTTCACCATCATAAAACTGCAAACAAAGCCAATAGTGTGACAGCAGTATTTTACTTCCCATTAGAGCTGCAGCTTAAACCCGGCTAGACTGGGACTCAAGTAGTGTGTGATATGGCTGCATTGTTCCGGCTACTAAATGTAATGAAAATGGACTGTTTTTATAACTTATACCCTTTTGCAGAGGTGGGGAGTAACAAAGTATAAATATTACTTTACCATAGTTTTTTTTTCAGGTATCTGTACTTTACTTTATTTTTTACTTTTACCCCCTACATTTTTACACAAATATCTGTACTATCTGCACCTTACATTTTCAAAATAGGCATCTTACTTTAGTTTGAATGAATTTGAGGGCAATTATAAATGTATTTATATATATTTTCTTGCATCATTGCACAGCTTCCCATAATCAAGACGAAAGAGGGAGACTGGACCCCTTTTAAAGTTTTAGTTCTTCGCACAGAAACAGCCAGTAGAAATGTCCTTCAAAAAAAAAAAAAAAAACAAGGGAATACTTTTTATACTTTGATTACATTTCAGAGTCTCTGTTTCACTCTTACTTGAGTAAAATAAGTTGAATCAGTACTTTTAATTTCACTGGAGTATTTTTCACTCAAGTATCTGTACTTCTACTTGGGTAAACAATGTGTGTACTTTGGCCACCTGTGCCATTTTGCTTCACCCTGTGAAGTTGCTAGTAATGCATAGGCACTGGATATGTGGACATTTTGGTTGAAAAGTGGGTTTTTTACTGCCACATCAAATGAATTTGCATAAATGTCCATATTTAACAATTATTACCACAAGTTTATTATATGAACTTTTATTTATTTATTTATTTCTCTCTCTCTCTCTCTCTCTCTCTCTCTCTCTCACCCTAACTGGTCGAGACAGACGACCACCCACCTAGAGCCGAAGGATCTGTCCTAGGTTTCTGCCTTTTAACAGGCAGTTTTTCCTTGCCCTTGTCGCCAAGTGCTTGCTCATGGTGGTACTGTTGGGTCTAAATAATGTCATCAAGAGTTCGGTCTAGACCTGCTCTATTTGAAAAGAGATAACTTCTGTTATGAATTGGCGCTATACAAATAAAATTGAATTGAATTGAATTGAATAGTAGACTTTCAATAAGTGTATACATTTTGCTAATGTTAATTTAACGTTATTCTGAATGTATTTATCAATAAATAGTTCACAACTAGATAAATGAACAACTATATTTATATTGCTATGTTAATATATTTTCTAGTGGTCCACTAACAATAGATTTAAATCATGACTTTATACCTTATAATTTTGTAAATAAAAACAGTCTTTAATGTGGTCACAAGAAATATATAAGTGTACTCATAAAACACTTTTTTTGAACATTTTAAAACACTTTGCTCTACATGAAATTAGTATACTTTAGGTATTGAACTTCCTTTTTTGAATTGGGACTGTATATTGTATAATTCACCAATTTGGCTTCATTTGGGGATTGAAAAAAAATGAAACATTGAAACTCAAAACATTTGAAATATTTTTTGAGGCAACTATCGGGTCACAAATATACTCATGTAAAACAACAGGCATTCTGCATATGAGGTTGCTTTTAGGTAATAGAAGCAGGCTTATCTGCTTCTATCCAAGACTGGCAGGACAAATGTGAAATATGAAACGTGTCTTGGTCTGACTGGCTTGTTATAAACTTTCCAATATGGTTGAAATGTAAATGGGCAGGCGAAGTTGAGATGAGCTCCTCAGAATCCTCAGCCCGGAGAGAACGAGAACAGCTGGGGCCTGGCGTTCCCTCTGTGTCGGTCTACTCTTTGTCATGGGCAAAAGACTCTTGTTTTCAGGCAGTAATCAGACAGCCCTGGGGCTCTGTAAAGACCCTGTTCCCTTTTCATCTCAACTGTTGCATACACCCTGATAATTGGAATGCTGCAACTGGGTCACAGGCATTGTCTCTCAAGTGCTGTCAAGTCATTGAGACGCGTGAATGTGGAATTATGGTTGCCTCAGACGCATGATTGAGTCTCCCCTCTGCGCTATCTTAATGCCTCCATTTCAATCTCATCGCAGACACTGATTTTCTCCTTTTTTTTTCTCCATTAATATTTCTTGCTGTACTCTCCTCCGTTTGTGTCACAGTTCTGCCTGGAACCAGCAGTCACTGGGGCTTGGCTATTAGAAGGTAAAACAATCTAAATTCTCTAAAAATTGGCTTAGTTTCTTTACTGTAACCTACAAAGTAGTTATTCCTTTTGACCAGCAAAAGGTAAACAAAGCATTTCAATACTGTTGATGTAACTACATGTATTTTATTATGACTCTACACATTAAGTCGTTCTCTGTAAGTTTGCCCAAACACTCCTGTTCCCTCCACTCCTGCAGTTGAAAAAGAACCTGATTCTGCAGTTTGTCAGTGATTAAAAGAATTAGCCAGCCTAGCATGCCACCACAAATGAGCAAAACCCTCTGGGAGACCAGAGAGACCAAGCAAGGCACATTTCCAATTATACCGCCAAATGACTCATTTTCTTATTGGGCCTCCTATAATTGTGGTGGGTATTGGGTGCATGCAACTCAATTTGTCTTACATATTTGTTGGTAGGATGGTAAAAGAGTTGATGGAGCCAAGGGGATGATATGAAAGAATTAGACAAAAAAAAAAAGAAAAAAGTATGAGATAGATCCCTCAATATTTGTTTGATCTCCTTCATCCTCCTTAATACTGTTGAAGTTTAAAAGCCAGGAAGAAAATGCCACTTTAATCATCTGTGGATTGAGGAATGGGAAGACTATCATTTTCGAGTAATCAGAAAACGTCTCTCCAGAGTAATAGACTTTGTACTGACTGCTGAAATTAATGAGGCTTCCAGTGATGTTATCTGTCCCGAGGATCATCAATATATAAGGATAATTGACAAATTAAATTACTGCAAATTCTTGGAAAATAGAGTTTTGTTAAAGTACCCCCAAAAAAATGGAGATTTTAAAGTTTTCGAACAAACAGACTTCAAACTAAGTTGGGTAAGCTTTATTAAATCTGCAGACACATTTAGATCATCACTGTAAATTCATATCCATCCTTGTGTAGGTAAACAACCAGTTACTTATAAAGCAGCTGGACTTAATGTTGATACAGGAACATAGAAGGCACAGCACAGACCATGAAGCCATTTCATATAAGTAACATTGCTTTTTCTGCAGCATATGACACAATGAGCTGCTATAAGACTGAAGTCAACATATTACGGTGCTGTTCTTCTACGACTATATACCCTTTAAAGAAAAATCCTTGTGTGATATAGTTGCCACATTTTGCCTGTCTATTGGTAACAAACTCAAGTGTACAAGTAATATGCAATTCAAATAGAGTTTTCAAAAATGAATATTAAGTAAATAAGTAACCTTTCATATACATACAGTACAAACGGTAAATAGAACAGTTAATGTGGATTAGAGGTAAAATTAGACACGTAACATGTAATTCCAGTGAACCGTAGTTGTTCTTTCACAGACATTTAACGGTTTAGCCATTGAACGCTTGTAAATTCAAAAATATTTCCTCAGTTAAAAAACAAATACAAAAACCAAAAACCCTCAAGTTTAAAAGATTGCTTTTAGGAGCAAACACAAAAAAAGAAAAGCCCATTTTTTCTAAACAAGCACACTATTACCCACTATATGTGTGTGAACAATTCTCATTTGAACCATCATTATCACTGTGCGTGTTACTGTTCGTATCACTTTGTGCGTGTCCGTATGTATGTGTGTATGCTCGATGCAACAGTTAAAACCTGTGCAGCAGGTGATTCTGTGAGGGCACAGTGAGCAGTAAAGTGCATCTGAAGCAGCATGTGTATGTGTGTGTACTGTGTGAGCGACAACAGAAGGGACAGCTGTGGTTTTGTTGTGAGGCGAGCTGCCCATTGCTCACTGCAGGGTAACTGTGAAACAGTCAGGGTCTAAAATGGACCATGTCCCTGCTCCCTGCTGGGCTCTCCCGTCCAAATCTGTTATAGAGTTCCCCGTCTTTGTTCAGTAACTAAGTGTTTCCTACTTAGGAGTTTAAAACCCGCTTTTCTGGCTCAAGCCCCCAGCAATGTGTTGTTGTCGAGTTGGTCATCAAAACACTTGCAAATATTAACAAGCATATGTCACAAACCAAGGGGCATTTTAATATGACAACAACATTAAAATGACTGATTATCATGGAAGCATAAACATCCATTTGGGCCAACTGTGTAAACTCCAAATATTATTATTACATATTAGTCACTAGATATTGTTTAAGCCATTTTTCAATTGCACTTGAATACAAGATACACTGATTTATCTGAACACAAGCATACATGTAAGACAATTTACAAAAGTTATAATTGATGTCAGTCATCTGAACTCTTAGTAAGAATCATAGCCAACAAATCATCAGTAACCCGGCAGCTGCCAAGGGCCCTCACGTTGGCTCCTCTGGCCTCAGTTTCCAGCCCGGGCCTAAGCCAGGAGCAGGGGTGGCTGAGCCAGGCTCCTTTTGGCTGTAGTTGCGGCCTGAGCTGTTCTTCAGCCAGGCGGGGAAGAGAGGCCAGGCTCCCAACTAGGAGGAGGCTGACGTCTCCATAGTGGACAGGATGCGCACCACCTCAGTTCTTTGTGTGGGCGAGATGTGCTGGGTCATGTGCACAATTGAATCCATGGCAACCTCTGGATTGGCTTGAACAAGGCTGAAAATGAAAAGGGGAAAGCAACATAATAAGCTGGATTTCACGTGTTTGTTGTTGTAATTACGGGTGGAATGTTTTGCACTCTACAACTCTTACCTGCGTATCTGCTTGAGGATGTGATCTCGCCGGATGTACTTGATGTTCTCGTCGATGACGGACCTTGCGCCCTCTTCTTCAGCTAGTTGCCTCTCCAGCCATGCCACCACCTCCTCATTGTTATCCCACAGATAGGCCTGGATAATGAGGGGGTGTTAAGAGGAGAGAAGATGAATCATTGTGAGTAATATTATTGCTCATTCGTTCAAGTATTTATGGATAAATGAAACTTAGGAATCACACTTTTTCCAATGGTGTGAGTGAGAATAAATGTAATTGGGATTAAAATTTTTAAAAAAGGTCCCATGGAAAATGAAATATTAACATTCTGTATAAACTGATGAAATATGAATCAAAAAATAAATATCAACAACAACAAAGAGATGGACAGACACAAAGTGGGGGTCTAATGTCTTGTTGACTGGACCTGATAGGAAAATTAGTATTCATGAGTGCTGGCATCTCTGATCCCAAACAAAGCCAGGCTGGAGGGCTTAGCAAAGATTTGGGGGCTGAGGGGTTTAATGGGCTCTTGCCTTTTTTATGAACAGTCCTGCTTGAGGTCCACAAGAACATTTAATGCCCTTATTAATCATTTTTAATCTGTTTGCTTTTAATTAAGAAACAGCGTGTTGCACTCCTATCTGCACGTGCCAGGGCTGTGATTAATTGTGGCTTAAGACAGCCAGTCCTGATTGGGATAATATATTAGCTAACAAGAAGGCCACTTCTGAGGAGATCTCAAACGCAGGGCAGGCTCATGTCACCCCTGCGGCTGGTCCTCTGAGCCCGAGACTGGGCCAGAATGTATCTCTGAGGGATGTTTATTTTCATTAACTACCAGTTATCAGTCCATCTGTATTAAATCACGATGATTTAATAGGAACGCTTACCAATGTTTTGCACCTCGTGGAGAAGAAATAAGAGTTTCAGGATAAAAAGACATGAGCACTGTAATCATTCCCAGGGGCTAAGAAGGTGTTTACTTGGGCATCTACACTGAAAAGAACTAAACCTTTCTTCCCCCAGACAATTAAATACTGGTAACAATCTGTCAAAGATTCTCAATCATTTATCACAGAGGACTGGATTTGATGACTTTGGATACGAGTAGATACTGAAATCTAAAAATAAGTTAGAAAAAGTCTGAGCACATGTGTTTCTCATACTCTGTCACAGTCTTCTCTTTTGCCGTGAAAAAATGAAAAAAAAAAACCCTCCAGTTTAGAAACCGAGTCTATGAGATATTAATTATGGTTTTCTACATTTTCCACGCAGGGTTTCTGAATACTGAACAAAGTATGTGGTACCTTGACAGCCCCCTCGGCCTCCACAAACCAGCGGCGCAGCATTGCCTGGACCTGACCATCCGTTAGCTCGCTGTTGGCCGCTTGGATCTTCCTCTGCACCGTCTCCTCCAGCAGCAGACGCCGCAGACGCCAGTAAAAGAACTGACGGGATGTTTGCCATTCAAGGATATCCTGAGATAGGCAAAAGACAAAAGAAATGATAATGTAACTGCACCTACTATTGTTAGAAGCTACCAACTCCTAAGTTTTGCATATTATTAAATGTCAACCTTTAACGCAGGGCATGAAGGACTTTAGAATATAGTATAGTAGTCTGCTTTAATGCACATTATACCCAATTCAAAGGGCTGATTTAGGTTTATGAAAAATCAAATATGGGAATCTTTTCATTTTTGTTGAAAAGTTTGTTGAGGATTTGATGAAAGTGTTACACTTGTAAAGCAGATGAAGGTGTGTTACAGAAATGCGTCACACTGTAAATTAGGTCTTCATCACGGTGGGCTGGAGATCTGAGAATGTCATTTTAGGCCCAGATTTCTCTGCTGATGCACTTGGGTTGAAGACAAGAACCAGACCAGTACAGTTAGAAAGTGATACTGTGTGTACAAAAAACCCTGCCTGCCATCCATCTGCCAAAGACCCTTCTGGTCATGTGAGCAAAGTGTGTATACTTGTATGTGAAAGATGGGACTGGGAAGGCACAGAATGAGATGGGGCCTGCCTGAGGCTGCTCCACAGTTTCTGAGGTGATTGACCAGGGTCATCAGAAGATAATTATGAGGACGAGTCTCACAGCCTTGTGAGACCAAACATTATTCACGAGGCAGGTGCAGCAGCAGCTAGACTGATACCCCCCTGGGGGCTTTTCAGGTTATTCACACACACTGCACACTCACACTGCAGCAATACATACACACAAGACAGCATTTAAAAAAATAAAAAGTGCTCACTGTTATTACGCCCTTCTCTTGCATGCGACCTGGGGTGTCGTGGAGGTCTGCAAACTGCACAGCCACCTGGTGGTAGATGGGCAGGAGAAACTCCTCACGCTCCTTCAGCTTGGTCTCCAGCTCTTTACGGTCAGGGGGACTCAGCTCTGGGGTTCCTGTTGGAGTTTCAAAACAACGCCATAAAACACAGCTGTCAGATAATTTTAGTTTAGGTGTAAAAGCCAAAAATGATATCCTAACATAGTAGTCTTACAGTTGGCCTTTACGTATAGTTCAGTTACCATTAAATCAGGTTCTACATGAGCATGCAGCTGCAAATTAACTCCCGTTAACAGCATTTTGTTTCAGAGCTCCCCCAAACCCCTAGTCGCTGTCAACGAAGACTGATTTCTGTCAATTCCAATCTGTAAGCTCTCAAACCCTCCCCAGTAACCCCTCAATTCCACCAGTTCGCCCAAAGCGCCGAGCCCACACAGCATCGGACCACAATTGCTCTGAGCCTGGAGGAAAATCGATACACAGGAGAGACAGGAGAGCCTGTGATTGATCTGAGCAGGCTGTGATTGACACGTCTCCCGGGGGACAGCAGTGAAGATGATACAATCAACATCAAATAAAGAACAAAAGTGAAAGCACACATGCTCCCACCTGATATATTGTTCCTTACTAAAATGAGGACAAGGCCGAGGGGGGCGAAGACACCCGTAAAGAGCTATAATTAGAATCGAAGGGGAGGACTTACCCAGTCTTTCAGCCAAGCCCATGTAGACCGGATCTACTCGTCTCATGGTCTTAACCAGGTCCTTCTTCCTAAACTTGATCTCCACTGTTCCCTCAGGTTCCAACACTCCACCTCTGGAGAAGAGAATAATTAAAATAAACAAATGTTGTCGATAAAGACTATACTTAATCTGCCCTTTTTTTAATCCAACCTACCGACTGTCCTTGTCAGCATACATCTCCATGTGACGAGGGTTGATGGTAGGATCTATAACCACCCAGGATCCTCCCCTGAGCTCAGCCTGGGGTGGGATATAAACCAGTACCGGCTGCTTGTACTCCCTAAGCCCGTCCACGATGTAGGCCCCAAACTTCAGCACCTGGTCGTACATATCTAAGAAAAGAGTTTCATATGAGGGACTGAATGACTTTGAACACAGATTGACTGATTACAATGAGAGCATTAGTACCTTTCATTCCTCCAGAAAAGCCCCTCCAGTTGGCGAACACTATGAGAGGTAGGCCCTCTCTGTTCAGGTCCTTAATGGCCTGGGCTGTTTTAAATGCAGAATCTGGGAACCACACCTGTCCTGCCTGCTGGATGATCTAAATATACAAAATAGGAAAATCAGCATCAATACATGGGTGTCGAAGTACTGAGATGCTAGTATATGTATGGCGCAAGTCCTTACCTTCGCCTCCGAGTCCAAATTGGCTGGATCGGCTGGGATTGACAGCTCCACTGACCTGGTTTCCACAGCAACCACCCCAGTAGGTATCCCCCCAAGTCTGTGGAGAAGAGGCCATTCAGCGCTGACATCTACAAAATACCTCGACTACATTTACGGTGCAAATAAATTCCTTATTGGCAGTGTGCCATCTGGGTTTAGGGTTTTGTTGGGACAGTTACCTGGCTCTGCCGACCACCACACTCTGAGCCCAAGGCTGCATGATCTCCATGAAGGAGCCATGGTCAAAGAAGCCATTCTGCCAGGAACCCTTTGGAGCTGTATATACAGATAGAAGTGAGAAGAAAAGCGACATAGTGCAGAAAAGAAAATCAGAGAGAGTGAAACAGTGAAAAGTGGAGTTAATTATTACAAACTGGGATGCAAGTGTGCTAGTTTCCCAAAAATATTCTCTTTCCATAGTGTTTTTTAAAAAATCCTGGCTTTATTCATCATGCAGCCCGAGGTTATGTATTTGTAATCTTGGCAGCAACCATGATGGATGACTGTATAAGGAGGCTTACTCAGCTCTTTTTCTGCCTGCACACCCAGAGAAACATGCCCAGCCTATGAGGTTACCATTCAATTAAGCCTCGCCACTCATCACTACCAGAGACGTTGACCGGCTTCCAACATGGTCCCCCAATCCCTTTGCTGTCCCAAGCTGTAATTACACTGATGTGGAACGAGCTCAGTCCAGACCTGCAGTGTAAAACACACTGGATCCATTTTGGTACCATCTTGACCTTGCCTTCAGCAGCATTAGCTGTCCCCATTTCTCTCTTAAATTCTTAATATTCTCTGTTTACTATGGATTATTTCAACCTTTAACACAGGGGATATCAGGCTGAAATGATAAATCTTTGTATACTTGACATAACGCACACAAAAATAAAGTGTGGGTGTGACTCTTTACAGATGCTTATAAAGCATTTTCAATGAAAATAATTAGTAGAGGAAATGAGTAAAAGTAAAAGTGTATTAATCATCGTAGATAAAACCAGGATGCTATTTAAGGCAATACAACTTCTAGCACAACTTGGTATTTGATGCAGCTACTGCATTTTACAACTTTTGGAGCAGAGCATGTCTGTAAGACTCGCAATTGTTTTAATTAAAATGGTTATAAACAGATGATACAATCACATAAATGTAGTCAAAAATTGGAGTTTCGTTTAAAAGATTTCTCTGGACACCCAGACTAGATACTCACTCTGGCTGGGACGTCCTGCTAACATCCAACGAGGGTCATAGGGAGCCTTTGTAGGCACGAACTCCACAGGCCGATCTACGGGATCCTTGGCACTGAGGATGGGCACTGGACTAGATTTACACTAAAAGAAAAAAAAAATTTTTTATTTTACAAGGACAAAAAACACATAGGTCCAAACATCTGGATAAGTTAATTTATCACAACAGCTAAACATTACCATGGGCATGTAGGAAAGCCACTGCAGAAGCTGGAAGACTCCCTCAAAGTCATCACAAACAGTACAGTGGGTCACACCATTGTTGTGCATGATTTGGATTCCACCCAGCTGGTTGTTCGATGTGTACACTTCTCTGCCCAGCACCTGTAGTAGGAAAAAGACGAAGGTGTGGATTTTAGATGGGGGAAAAAGGAGGATTAAAAATAATACATTTCTTTGTTGAATCCCAGCATGCATTTGATTCTGTTTTTTTTAGGCGTGTACTGTGGAAGTAAACATGGGTTTGTTTTGAGGGTACAACACAGAAAGTCACTTAGAACAGAAAACTGCAGAAGCACTGCTCTTGGAGCCTGCTTAAAAGCCGCAACAGCAGTTTTCTGCCCAATTAAATTTAGCATGGATTTACCCTGGCCTCTCAATGGAGGCAACAGCATTAATCCACTGTTCATGTTGTGCAACCTTGGCCGACAACAGGAGGTCCTGTCACCAGGCTTCTGGTTTCTGGTGTCTGGCTTCACCAGGAGTGTGGTTCAATGAGATCGCACAGAGACACAGACAAGCTGGGTAACAGCAGGACCCTGTATTACATGGTCTCACTGCCTCATCAATACAGATGATCAGCAGCCAGAAATGTCTCTACTCCAGCAGTCACAGGTGGGTGGCAGCACCTGCCACTCCTCCTGAGGGAATGTTCTAACAGACCGTGTGAATTAACATGTGCCCTTTTTCATCCAAAACACTTAATTCATTCAACTGGCTTGCATCCCTTTTTGTTGTCATGTGTGTGTGAATCCTCCAGTTCCACCAGTTGTGAAAGGGGCTGTTGTATAAGGGTGAGATGGAAGCCACCTTTAAAACTGTCCCTATGCCAACCTGAAGCTATAAAATCTCACTCCCAGCCCACCCTATTTTCATAAGCAGCCTAGAACAGGTGGCAGGGCCCTGACATGGTTCCATAAAAATCAGAGAGGAGCTCAATGCCTACCCTCAGCTCTCACCTTTTCAGCCATCATTTACTTTCTTTATTACCATTAATGGTTATGTATCTGGCTACAAATCTAGGGCACTCTCCTAAAGCTGTCAGGAAAGCCTGCGGCCCCAAGAAACATTGCAGTCACCTTGACATACACAAAACCCCTGCGCCTCCGGCCACTGCCGGCTTCATTAAGATTCCACAGCAGAGAGAAGAGGAGGGGATATAGGAGGAGGGACACAGGGAGATGGCTGGGAGGAAGAAAATGAGGGGCAGACTGGATGTAACAGCTCACTGGGGTATTTATGCTAGTAGTTACTATCCACTCCCCATGAAAATATGAGAGCTTTCCAGCAGCTAATGAAATGATGATCTCTGGGTGGCAGCCTCCTGCTCTCCATTAAGTTTCAGTTAATAGCCAGGAAACCACATGATAAACGAGCAGAAAAAAAACTACCCTATTTCTTGCCTGTGTTGCTGGTGAAATCAGTACTATTCTAAAATAAACACAATCCATTGTAAACAAAGAACATATTGCAATACATCACCTGCACACTTGTCAGTAAACATTTCTATGTATATATGAGTATACACGCACAGACAGAGCTAAACAGTGAGGCCCATCTAAAAACAATTGAGCTCCAAGCAAATAGGTATGCCATCATTGGGCCATTTGCATGATTTGTCATGTTGCGATCTGTCATCTAATTTGAAATGGAGTCATCTTAATGCACTGACAAGGACAGAGAATGGAAAGCAAGACAAGAGGAGGTAGTGAAGCATAGAGGCGCACACGCGCACACACACACACACACACACACACACACACACACCATCAACTGCATGCAGAAAACAATCTGCCTCAGCAAAACTTTTCATTTTGATTAAAAACAAATGATATGGGTGTCCTACACTGCAGCCTCCGGCATGTCACTCTATTTCTATGCAAATACAACTTCATGGTTCGCATTCAATTATTCCACTATGAGTGGCAGGCAGGCCGGTGGCTGGGATCGGGAAGGGAATCCTAGTAGAACAGAAGGAGGTGGAAGGAAGCCTGATGGCTGAGTTGGAACAGCACCACAATTTTAGTACACTCTTCTCATTTCTTTTCTTTGATATATAAACACACACACCACTTTACCCTGTCATTATATATTTCACAATCTGCAGTTTCTGTTAATTCATTATGTAAAAAAAAAAAGAAAAAACACAATGTACAGTACAAGTAAATTAATATTTATAGAAAATTCCTCATTAAAATGCAGCTGCATCAATTGTGTGAATTTAGAAATGACAGATTTAGTGATTTTTTTTTGAGGAGCACACAATCACACAACAGCATCATATTTTAAATTTAAGAGCAAAAAAACTGTCTTGGTGTACTGAAATATGATTTACATGATTACATTGTAGGTCATCTTACCTTGTTGAGTGCCCCAGCTCCAGTAAGGATAATGTGAGAGTTGTCCACTTGAATGGTTCTCTGTCCTAGCCTCACCAGATAGGCCCCGATCCCTATGGCTCTGCATGTGACCTATTGGACAAGACAGTCATGTTGAGGCATCAAATACTTGTAAAGTAACCAGATGCATTAACTCTTTGTATTAAGCAAGCCTTTGTTCTTGAAAGATCACATGAGTGAGCAGCTCAAGGCTAGGGAGGAGGCTACGCGTACACATGTGTTTTTTGTGTACCCACTTCATTCTTACCAGGTTCATGGTGATGATCTCCTCATACGCCAGAGAGGATTCTCCAGCTATCATTCCAGACCCTTTCAGATTCTCCACACCCAGCCCTTCATCTTTTCCTATGATATCAGTGATCTTGTACCTGCATGACAACACATATATTTACTCACAGCTGGACGTGACCCTTAAATAGCTTTCCCTTCCATCATAACCCCCAGTGTAATCTCGTGGGCATACTTCAGACTAACACTACATAATCTTGCAGATTAATTTCCTCACGTACTGATATATAATAAAAAGATGTACCTGGATTCTCCCTCATCCTCCACATGTTCGCAATGCACAGAGTTCAGAGCTGAAACCTTCTTGTAATCCTGAGGTGTGAGGTAGAGATACTTGAAACCCTGCAGGGGAGATACAGCAATGACTGCTTAGATATGGTAGACAGTGATTCAGATGGAGAAAAAAAATTGTTTAATCTTTTGAAAAGAAAAAAAAAAAGGAAAGAAAAGAAAAGAAAAAGGTAGAATGGGAAAGTCTTAGAAATCAGATACTATAATAAAGAAATACACTGATACATACAGTATATAAAAATAAATAAAAAAAACACCTGGTGAATGTCTTAAGTCAGAATCAGAATCAGTTTTTACACATACGAGGAATTTAACATTCATCATGAGGAAAATAATGGATGAAATATTGAGTTGGTGAATTCTGAGTCACAAAATGACAAAACAATCACACAAACTGTTGTCAGGTAGGCCCACAAATACAATGTTAGAGAGTTTGCTGGCTAACCTTATAGGGGTCAGCTGGATCTTGCCAGGCCACATGGAACATGTGTCTGATTTCCTCTGCCAGCCCAATGCGGGCGCCACTGTTGGCTGCGATGTAGATTCGAGGGATGCCGCTCTCTCGCGCCATCTCCGAGGCACGCAGGAACAACACGTCCTCCTGGGGCCCAAATGAGCCTATCTTGTGTGTGATGTCATTACTTATGACGATTATCTCACGTCCCGCTGGATATTCTGGCGTTCGCAGGGTCATCCGCCATGCCACCATACCAATCTGGATAGACAGAACAGAGGCACTTTAACAAAATAAATACTGACTATATATTAATACTGTACTACAAATACACTGTAAATACTCTATTTTAAATGTTTTTTTTAATTATTTGCTCAAATGGTGCAGCCAGGAATGAGATCAAGTGAGAGTATATGTTCCATATGTCACAGGCCATGGCAGATTCAGACTGCATTTTATCCTTGGTTTAAATAAAATTACTAGACATAGGTATCTCTCAGTGCACTTTCAATGGTGCATTAAGCACTGCCAAACAACAAAGTATTTAGCAAGCACTCAAGAACACAGCCAAAGAAACACAGAGACACCTACAGTGCAAAAGAGAAATTGCACTTTTTGAAAGAGGAGATGGATGAATAATGAAAAAGTTCATGTAATTTTTTAAAATGTCTGTATCCATGTATCAAAAAAAATTTAATAAAATAAGAAGCTGACCTCATTCCCCCCCGGCAGTCTGTTCATCTGCACCAGCTGACCTTGGGCATCAAGAACCAGCTCTGTGAAGGTGAGCAGCTCAGAAGGAAGAGGGCATTTGGGTAAGTGGGCATAGGCCTGGCTAGAGTGCCACTGCTTTTTCAGTGCCTGGGAAAAGAAATTAAAGACATCACAATACAATTACTCCGTCAATATAATTTGGCTAGTCGGTATTTCCAAACATACTCCAAGTACAACGGGTCAAAATGTCAGTTATTAGTTATGTACCTGTCTGAACATTTCTGGAAAGTCGTAGACATAGGTGGTGCCCAGAGACTGCGCCTGGAAGCGCTTAGACTGCAGCAGGTCCTTGGTGACATACGGGGTGTTGATGAGCATGCCATGCAAAGGACCCTGCTTGTCTCCATATGCTTGGAACATGATCTGAGCAAAGAGGGAAAGAGAGTCACTTTACAGTTTACAGTTTTGAGAATGATGACGATAAGGATGACTAGGATGACTAGTGTCATACCCACAGCATTAACCAATACAAAGAGTTGTAGGAATCCCTTTTCTTTGCACCATGACCAAATTCTCACAGAAGCACAAGTCAGATGTTAAAGTACAATGTATACAGGAAGTGGTAACAGCTTAGGCTTATCATACATTCAGGACATTATACGTTATCAAGGCCATCAGACAGGCAAGACCATTCACTTGTGATCTAGTCTAAGTGCAGGCATGCTCATTGCAGGCTTCCAAAAAGTGAAATGTTTTGCTGAATGAGGCCCATGTCACCCTAAAGAAGTTCAACAGCATGTCGTTACATCCCAAAAGTATTCCACTCCACACTGACACCTGCGTTATCTTGCAACAATATTTTAGTTTATTATACGCTCAAGTTTAATCATTTCATAAATGATTGCAGGAAATGCTGCAAGTTTTTTTTCCTCAACCATTATTAGAATCTTCAAATAGAGACTAAATAAAAACAATTTTTTTTCCCCCATTCAATATTATGGAACTAATAAAGCAACCAGCCAGCAAAAATGAAAAAAACAAAACAGAAAACAATAACAAGAATTGAATGTATACAAGGATAATGGGCATTTCTTTCTTTCATTTCATATTTTACTAAAGCCCATTATAGGTATTCAACATTCGTTTCTTTAACGGGTGGATGTGATGATGGACAGATGTAATGATGGTTGGCTGGATGAAGTGTAACTTACCTAATGAGCTGCTAGGAGAAAGGATATTACTGAAAGAATTGTCCACCAGGCTAGGGGCATGACACCATACTGGATCTCTACCCCAGTAATTTAAGTAAGAAGCCTTAAATTCTTAGAGTAAAAATGACTATCTTTAACTTTATAAGACAGGCTGGTAAATTGCATTCTGGGCGTTAAGGTATCCAGGATGGAGCTAAAGCCCTTTGCCCACGACGAGACAATAAGCAGATGAGATGAAAGATGTATGAGTGCCCCACCTGTCGGTCTTTGGGCCCCACCTGTCCCGTTCTGGAATCAGTGACCTCCTTGTACAGGCTGATGTCCAGGTAGTAGCCTGATTCATTGGTGAGGAAGAGGCGGATGGGGATTTGCTTTCCTGTTGGAGTCAGGCGGATGTTAATTTTCAGTTCAGCCTGCAGGACACGCAGCTTCCACAGGCGGCTGCCGTAACGCATCACCATGGAGCGCACAGACTCCTCGATCTGAAGTTAGTAGAGCAAGATTAGAAAGAAGTGAAGTCATTATTAACAACGTGAGCTAGTCTGACAGCGTATCAGATATACAAGTGTGTGATAGTTCCACAAACCTTTGACGGGTCCATGATGACTGTGGGGACAAAATTGAGGAATATATGGTTACAGTCAGTGCGTACAGTTGTGTTGTTGAAAGCCACCTCCAGCTCATCCATGGCTTCCAGCAGCAGACGCTCTGCCTCATTGTGAAGGTATTCAAAGGAGGCCTCCTAGTGAGTGAACAAGAAAACAATCTGTCATTGTCGGCATGTATGAATAACTTATAAAATCAAATAAGAGCAGATGAAGGATTGTGTTGCAGAATCCAAAACCTCTAAAACCAACTTAAAAAAAAGGGAGTGTAAAGGTTCCTGGTTCCTCCGTTCTCTCACCTTTGTGACCAGATCAGAGTGGCGGATAATGGCTCGCACAAAGAAACGGTAGTCCGTAACCTCGATGCCCACCTCCACGCGCGCTGCACCCAGGTACAGGTGCATTTTGTGGTTGGCGCATGGGATTGCAGTAAGGGCAAAATTGCGCATGCGGTTGAGCTCCAACTGGAAAGCTAGTGCCGGTTCCAAATGACGATAGATCCTGTCCTCCTCGAACTACAGAGAGGCACGCAGTACACAATCACACAAAACATTTTAAATGGACTTGTTCAAAGACTTTCCTGAAGAACTTTTTCTTTACAAGTTAAGCTTCCCTCCCATCAACTCCTCCATTAACAAAAGTAGTTCAAATTGGCAATTTCAGCAGCACAGAGTTGATATAATAGTAAAAAGATGCCTGTGAGCCACACACTGTATTAAGTCAATGAAACCATGAGCAATCTCAATCTCAGAAAGCTGGTAATGGGTGTCATTTCACTTAAATGGGAGACATAATTAAAGACTTCATTACTTTAATGAGTTTTGGTGGTGTTATTATAGCGAAACTATCAGGGGTAACGGAGAGGAAGAGCCATCACTGATTGTGATAGAGTGAAAGTCAGCATCTCAAAGAAGTGAAAAGTTGTTTATTACAATCACAACATGGTTTTGAATAGTCTCCCAGCCAAAGGAAAGTCTATTAATTGTTTTTTGGTCGCTAAAATAAAAAGGCATTTTAGAGTTAAAAGTGCGCTGACACATGGTAATACTTTGTGATACCCACCTTGTCTCTGGCACGGAATGTGAAAAATTTGGGGAATTCTCTCTGTGTAAGATAGTGAGACAGGGACAGAAAGAACAAAATGAAATGAAAAAAAAAACATGGTTGCAAGCACAGCATTGTTAGAAAATACTAAATGAGTTAGAAATGCACAAACTATAAACCTAATCACAGCAGGTGACCATAAGCTACACTGGGCTTTGCTTAGTTTGCTAGTATAGTATTATTCAGTGATGAACAGGACCTTGTTCTACATGCAGTGAGCTGTATACTACTTTACTGCTTTCATTTCTCTATCAGGGAATGACTTTGTATTCACTCAGACAGCAAGCTCACATAATAATGGTAATAGTCTCTATATTTATAGCACCACTCACTACGTTAATGAATAAAACATTCCCTTTTTTTCAAAAAACATTTGATCCTCTGAATAATGCCTGGTAGCCCTGTTTGACGTTATCAGATGAAGTGTCCCACTTGCCAAAACAATGCCAGACCGATTGGAGATGCTGTCATCAGCCCACAGCCTACACGATAACAAGAGAACTGCAACAGTGCACACACTGGAAACCTCTAAAGCCATGATTTGACACTGATCACATCCCCTCTACAATATAGTGAACAGAGAAGACTAAAAAAAAAAACCAAAAAAACCTCCGTGTAACAAGGGTCATGTAATGACGGTGACACCAGTTACCATGATTAGCTCTCATCAGAGACTGTGGTGCCATCAAAAAAGAAATCAATGCCTATTGTCAAAATGACAGCAGAGGCGGAAGAACGGGCCATTTCTCAAAATCTAATCCTTTTCTAAATCCCTGTCATTATCTCCATCATCTGAATGCTAGTGGGTGCTGATAATGGGTCAACCCTGGTCAGATAAATGCAGCCCTGTGTGCCCTGTGTACTACGGCACAATGGACAATATATCAGAAAACTGCTGTGATTGGGGGTTCAGTTCCTAGTTCTGGGGCTTTAATGACTGTAGCTTAAAAACAAACTGTAGCCAATCCAAACCTTTATTGATTCAGAACAACGATGTGTCAAGGTTTCTTTTATTTACACTGGTGCAACAGTTGAATAAACCTTGAAATTGCAGGACCCAATAGCTTGGAAATATCAGTACACTGTCTTTTGATGTCATTAATCTACCCCGTGGACTGTCCATAGCATTTTAAAACCGATGTAATGCAACTGACTGTCTGGATATTTAATGTGCACCTCCATGGTAGGGTGTGTTTGAACAGTGATTAACCAAATGCATTGATACTTGTTCAATAAATCAAATCAAAGGGCCACCTGTGATCATTTCCTTTGTCTTCCTCTACTTACATGAAACCTTTGGTCCACCTCACAGTTGACTTGCTTCCTGAAATCCTGTCATCATAAATGCAGCAAAAGCAAGGCATGCAGAAAGAGATAGAGACAAACAGGATGATAAGCTAAATTTCAAATGCAAATTATTACAATTACCACAATATTGTTATTCCACATAAACAATCAAATAAAGTATTAGTATTAATTACAAAAAGGAGGATGCAGGGTGTTTCATTTATAAAATGTTGATACATGCTGTTCAGAACTTTTGAATTGGTGACAAGCAGGGTAGCAGATTGTGGAGACAGGTAGTAGACTTGGTCAGTATTAATTAGAGCCCTCACCTTCTGAGCCACAAGGAAAGTCAGCCTACGGATGCCATGTTCAAACAGCAGTGATTTCTGGACCGGGAAAAAGGCAAAATGTTAGGATGAGAACATCTTTCTGGGCCATCTCAAACATTTATCTCTCTGCTGAAATCAACAGAAACAAAAAGGTCTTGCTGTAGACCGCTCCCACCTTTGACTGAGTGAACTCTCGGAAGCTGGCTGCCAGGCCATCGTCATCAATGTCGCTGTCGGTCTTTATAGCCACATTCAGGATATGGATAGGCTCATCCTGGACACTCTGGATGACAAAGCAAAAACACATTTTCATTCAAAAGGTACACAGTCATACAGGTCAATGACAGGCCTGTGACCATCAGAAGTCTGTTCTCGTCACCTTGTTGTCCTCTTCACCATACAGGACAGGATTACCTCCCTCTGGGAAGGTTGGACTTGGGGGAGGGGAGTCGGAGAAACAGCTCAACACGTCTGCTATGTTCCTGCATAGGAGAAAAGTAATGCATGCCATTAATCACACTTGAAATATTATTATATTATCTTCACCTACCAAAGAAATATATTCAAGTTAGGACTGACCTGGTGAACTCCTGGAAGGAGCGGAAAGCGACCATGGCTCCCATGCGCTGACAAGGTGGTGTAAAAGATGTGTCAAGCAGGACGTCACTGACACTGGCTACATGCACCATGCCGTAGTGGTTCAGATTGGATGAGAATGACATCCTAGGGTATCGACAGAGAGAAATTACAATAGGAATCTACCAGATCAGTCGAATGACTCTGTGACAACATCCCCCATCCACCTTTAAGAACCTCACAACAGTTTGATCCCTCAGTTTTTCAGCAGATTGAAATGGTAATGGAATAATCCATATGAAAACACTTAAAAGCCTCGTGTCAATTGTATGGGACTCTTGATGATAAAAACTGAATGAGGTTCCAATTATAAAAAGCAAGTAGGAATGAAATTATACCATTACATGTGAACACAAGCTATACAGTATGTAAAGGACTTTTGACAGATCACTTTAGTCAAATTAAAAGAAGAAAAGATTCCTTTTACAGGAATATGAACATAAAACCACCAGAAAGACCCTTTAAATATTCACATTTAATGTTTTGGGGTGTTAGTCTTTTGATTGTAAGAAACTTTCCCAGAGGTTACACCCACTGAAAGTTATCGAGACGTTTGGTGTGTCAAACCTGTCAATAGATTCCGAATCAGAGGCATTTTTCTTCTCAGCATTATCATCCTTAGATTTACTATCTTGTTCTTTAAGGTCCTGGGGTTTAGTTTCCTGTAATCTAGTGTCCATGGCTTTTACAATGTCCAGGATTGGAGCAGACATTTTCCTGGCAGGACAGTCACAGGTTTCAGTTCAGGAGATTTGCACTGGTGCACAACATTCCTCCAACATGTAATTCAAATGATCTTACACTACATTGTATCCCATTTTATTCCAAGTCTGCAAAATATTGAAGCTCATACACACAATAGTTGGGAATATAACTATCTTCCACAAAGACACAAAGACACAAAGACGCACACAGACTCAAAAAAATGTTTGACACAGAGGCTGAATGCCAAGGGCCATGCTGTTGTCAGTAAAAATTAAGAAACATTGCTTTTCTCAATCAGACAAAACTCCAGTTGTTAAATCCGTTTCATTTTTGCGAAAATTTCAAAACACCAAACAATATGTAGATTTAATCACCAGATTAATTTAGAACATAGATTACCGTTTTGACCATGCAGCTAGCTAACCTACAGTCACTAGTAGTCTATGCAATAAAAAGAATGTTTACAATACCTGTTTAGAGTGGGGATGTTCCCTCTGCAATCAAACAACATTGATTACTAAGTGGTTAGTGGCAGGCACCAGGAAAGGAAGACAGTCAAGGTGTAGCAATGGGTGTGTATGTGTGTGTAAGTATGTGTGTGTGCTGTTTAATGCTTAATTTATTTTGCATTTATCAATATCTAAATGAATGCAATGAATGTGAAAAATTGAGAATAAAGTTAAGTGAAAATATCTTTCCAACCCTAAACACACATTTCACATCCTGACTGCTCCCTTTACAACATGCATCATGAGATCCTAAGGCCTCCTTGTCCTGAGGTTTACTCTGAACAAAGACAGAGGATCATTTCACATCCTCATGCAGTCTTTAGTTCACAGTGATGAGCAAAACATGAAGGTTAATTCGGACACATACAATCACAGACATGCAATAAAATGTGTGCATGCTGGCATTTTAAAGGATTGCTTCACCTAACTGTATAAAAAGAACTGAACCCAACACAGCAAAGAAAAGTACAAGCACTGCAAAGCGTTAACAGGCAAATACGCACAAAACGTACACACATTGAGACACAGACAAACTGGACACAGTCACACAGGTAGGATGCAGAACACAAGTGCAACAGAAATGCCACAGTACTTATTTTGTTACAAGCTTTTTTCTTTTTTTTTTTTTTAAATGCTGAGCATGTACATGAAATATTTGGAGTTTGTCTATTAGTTTCTCTCTGATTCTCAGGTTTTATATGGTTTAAGAGTGCCCCAAAGTTTTTCCAGGACTAACAAGGAAGGGCAATGAGACTCCTGAGGTTGGGAGCTTTGTTGCTCATGGCACTCACAAACTTCTGACAAACCAAGAAAATATTGCAAAATAACTTCTTTTGCACATGAGAAGCATTTACATGGAGAACAAATATGAACAATGACACATAGCTGGGAAGGTGGGAGAGTAAACCGTGGCACCATGGAGGACGTAAGATTGTGAAGTAAACTCTTCACTGCTGCAGTGATTTTAAATCAGCGCCATAGATATTCATGTTATAACAGTTATGGCACAAAAAGTATGTGATTTCCAGGCACTGGACTGATATGTTTTGTGTAACCACAGAACACCATCACCTATGCCACAAACACCTTGACAACTGAATCACACAGTGGTCTATGAGGCAAAGGGAGATACAAAAATAGAGCAACCAAAAAAGGCAGTGAGAAGGAACAACAAAAGATAGTTGTAGGTGATGCCACTAAAATTAACATAACACAGTGACCAAATACATGCTGGCGCTGCCAACTTTCCAGCATCACTGCCACCAATGGAAAATTCAATATTCATCCCTGTAATAAGTATTGATTCCTGTCCACAGTGCCGTTTAAGGGGGGAGCAGCAGCAAAGATGATGCACAGCATGTGAGCGTTGCAAGAACTTTGGCGTGTGTTATACCTGTTTGGGTGCGAGGTGGGAAGCATGAACTGGAACTCTACTATACATGTGTTGTCCCTCAGCTGTCGATGCTGAACGCTGTTCAGCTCATACGCAATGTATGCTCTGCGAACGTACACCTTATTGGGGATAAGGCCACAAAAAACTATTAGTTACTATTATTAGTATTAGTTTGATATGTGTATTCAAATCAAATTCACTCAAGGCAAATTGATATGTGGATTAAGACTGTCATTCATCTCACCTCAAGGGCAGCCATCCTGACAACCTGATTACTGTGGTAGAAGAAGTTGGGCAGAACATCAAAAATTGATGTTTCTGAAAGGATCAGTTTCTAGAAAAAAAAAAAAAGGGATATTTTGTCATCTTAAAGCTTTCTCCATTTTCAGAGCATTACATAAAGATACAGATAATACTCCTTTACTGCCTACCTGAAGGTTCTCAATGCAGAATTGGTGTCCATACATATCAATGGCAGAGAGGAAGATGGACTCCACCTGGTTGTGTCGTAGCTCATAAGAGGGGAGGTGGGAAGCTATTAAGACCTGGGTAAACAGGACGAATAAAAGAAAAAGTTAAAAAGAGTAGATAGTGACATCTGGTGGCGTCCCCATAGTTAAAACATTTGTGTAATGTTGAAAAGTAGATGTTTAATAATTAACCCTATCTGATGCATCTCTGGGCACTCTGGTAACACTTACACATTTAATTTGAGCCTATCTACATTTTTAAAAGATTTGACCTTACTTGAACATACTTATACTACATATAAATCTAATCCATTGACTGGTCTAATCCCAAACTCTGATGTCACTAAACAGGGAAAATCTGCATTTAAATGGGTGTGGATGAGACCATGATCAGATGTAATCCTTGAATGCAAGTGTGACAATAGATGAGATGAGCGGCTCCCGCCAGCCAACCAGACATAAGTTGAGTCTGGCGCTTGGATACAGCACCCCACACACAAAAAAACTGCACTGTTTTTGTGTTTTTTGGTTTTAAAACAAGATGGGAAAAATATATAAATACAAAAACAAATGTGTTTCTGTTTTATTTGTGCTGTTCTTCTCTGGGTGTCGACAGGGCAGCCTGCCACCGTACCCTGACCCCTTCCCCTCAACACACACCAAGCATTTCTTTGGCGGGCTAGACCCAGACCCTGCTCTGGACTTGGACCGGTACCTGCGGGTGGCAATACTGGACAGCCTGCCCCCCCAACCCCTGTCTTTGTGTTTTTCCAATTACGAAACCAAAGAACAAATGATACATGGAATTGATTGCAAAATCTTAATTATACATTGATTTTATAAATAAAAAATACAATTTTAGTAAATGGAATTAAATTTTCCACTTTTCATTTATCATTTTGGAAATGGAAGATTGAACTGAAGCATTACACAGACCCCATCACTCCATGTAATGATCTCTCCTTTCATCAAATTCAGAGCAGATTACAAATCTTGTTACCCATATGGCAGAAAAAAATGGTGTTCTTCAGGGGAAATCTACTTAGGGGAAAAAAGGTTTCTCAAATGCCCCTGATTGTCGTAATCATGTTTTTCATTTGCAGGACAATTAAGAAATCCGCATACTGCAAAAAGCAGACTGTAACCCAGTTACACAAGTGCAGGTAAACGCACTGAATATTGAATATTGTCAATGGAACATTAAAACATTTTTTGTCCATATCTGACCTGCCGAGCACGCAGTGCCACCTTGGCATTGGTTGTCTTGCTGAGCTGGGTGAGTTCAGTCAAGATGGCCATCAGCTCATCTGTTAGTGTGGGATCACGGCCACACAGCTGGTCCTAGACAAAACAGATGATAACATTACGTAACATTATAAGTTAGATATCTTAAAACACTCTAGTCAAGAATAAGATATGATGAAGGAGTCAATATCCCCTACAAAAGGACAAGTCTGTTTTTATCAGTTATTACTCAAGTCTTTCAAACGCACACTTACAATCAACATCGTAACCAGCAGGTTCTTCTTGGTGACTTGAGCATGGGAGAAGATATAGTTGAGCACATTTGCCATATCGCCTTTGTTTTCCTCACGCAGGGCAAACACACACTTATCATAGTGTCCTGTTGACAAACCAACAAGTAAAGTAGCTTAGCAAATATACTGCACAGGGGAACTGCAAATGCTCAGGTGGTCAGGGGTTTATTGTGGAAGAGCCCCACCAAGTGGACAAAATCAGTAAGTGCAGTTCTTCTAAAAAAACCTGTAGGACAGCAAAGCTAAAAACACATTACTCTTGCATGTGGCAATGTGCCACCACAATGAGCCCTTGAAACCAATAATTAAGTGTGCTGCTGTTGTTGTTGTTCCTCACCATTCTGAAACTGGATCTCTACTTTCAGGTACTGTCTGAGCAAGTCCATCACCACCGCCTTCATGTGACCTCGGATGCCACTGCGATACCTGTTGGAGACAAAAACAGTCTGGTCTGAAACAACAAACAATGCAGCGCTGTACTAACTGGGCATACGGACAAAATCGAGATCTAGTGAGTAAGAAAACAATTAATAAGTAAACCACTCTCATTCATGCAGCAAATTACATTAAGAGCTTTGTAATCAGTGTGTTAAGCTTTGCATTATATTGAGCTATAGAGTACCATACTCACTTCTGTACCAGCTGAACAATGCTTTGCGTGTTCATAAAGAAGACTTCTCTCTCGGACTTCTTATTAAGAGTAGCAGCGTGGCTGTCCAGGATGTTTGCAATCTGGAAACAAGGGAGATAAACAATACAAGCATTTAATCCCAACAGCAATGGAGACTCATAAGCATTTTATCCCAGTGGCACTGATGACCCCTCAGTTAGCTTGCTACCATTATATCCAGAGATCCAAACTCATGATTAAAACTAAAGATAAATATTGTTGGCAGCGTGTGACACTTTCACTACTACTGACATTAGTGTACTGTCCTTCCTTTGCTATTTATAAATTATGCATGGATATAAAATTCCTAGTATGAATGAATATGGAGTGTCCAAAATGTTTAACAATAATAACACATCAAATCAACTGTATTTTTTACATAATTCAGCAAATTGTTGACATCTTTTACATAGACAGACACATTTTGAAATAATTTGTTTGCACAAGAAACTGGGGACACAATATTCTAGCCAAGTGGAAAATTGGAGGGTTGAGAAATCTCAGTGCTGAACTAATAAAACTACTGGAGATACAGGAAAACACGCCACCTATTTTTATAACAGGTTTTTACTGCTGTTTTGTAAATGATCTAATGTTGAAGCATTAAAAATGTGCTCTACATCTGTACATAACTAATCCCTTTGTTCTCCTGGAAACAGGGTTAACTGTGGAATACAAACAAAACTACTGCTGGCAAAGAAAAAAAGAACCGCAAAATGCTCAACGGGAGTTTTACTGTTATCGACAAGGTACATTTAGACAGAATTCTGTGGGCTTAGTTAGCATGGGGTGTGCACGTGTTGGGGGACGCACCTGCTGGCTGGGAAACTGGCAGAGCACAGAGGTGATGTTGCTAGCATACTGAGCCATCTCCTTCTTGATGGCTTTCTCCACAGCGGGGGGGATGCGACCTGACACACTCGTCATGATGTCTTGAAGCTCCAACAGTGGCAAAGAGGGATCACGCATGGTTTTCATCAACCGTTCCACCCACTCTTTCAACTAGGACAGACACATGTTTAAGGAACTGCTTACAGTTGGAAAAGCTGATGTTGGTGTGTACCACATGTGTGTGTGAATTCTTACTTTAGCACTGAAGAAGGGCTCAGGAAGACAGTAGCCATTCATTATGTGAACAAGATGATCCAGTGTGTTGTGGAAGACTCTGTGTAGCTTCTCGCCTCTCAGAGCCACTGCCTGGATAGATGGCAGGGCCCCTGTGTGAAGCTCTGCCTACAAGACAAACACAAATATTTATTTTATAGCACTGGTGTGCATGTGCTGATGTTGCATTGTCAATGGGAGTTGATAGTCTAGTAGGAAGTAGTGGCAGGCTACCGCAGCTACATGAAAGTTAAAAAAAACCTGCATTTACTGTGAATAAAAGTAGTCCAAAATGTGTAGCTTCCACTTTGTCCTTCGTTGGACATCGTTACCACACCAGAAGTGACATTAGCTTGGTTCAGATGTTAATTCACACACCCGTTCCCTTCAGCTAATTGAGCAATCATCTTTGGTGGCAGCCTCAATTTCCTGCCTCACTGATGCTTTGATTTCATAAAGTGACTTGTCATAAGCAAAAATGAAAAAATGCACACCCTAAGTAATATATAAAGCCACAGTAGAGTGTGTGGAGTAGAGTGCATCTCTTGTGTATGGAAATGTAGATCTCTGACTTTTTTTAAAGGCTGTTGCTTTTCATGATAGAAGCTGAAAGCTAAACAGTTTCAACAGGTTCAATTTAAGACTTTTTAAGACTGTTATAAATGCAATTTCAGACCTATTTTACTACCAAACTGGCTAAACATTATGAAGGAAAATCTGTATGGCTTATGTCTTTTTCGTTTTATATTCATTACAACATGATCAATACAACTTTTTCCCAAAGGCACATTTAAAGTGAGACCGAAAAATGTTTTATATAAAAAGGTGAAGCTAACTTCATCAATCCAATGATTTCTTAAGATTTAAAAATAATTTAAGACATTTTAAGGTTGAAAAGTCAGAGCATTGTATGTTAGAATTTTTAAGACCCCATAGACACCCTGTAAAGTGTATGGCCCAACTTTAAATACCGTTATTGTGGACTAAATAAAGAAATATAACATATTTTGGGTCATTTTGTAGCAGGAATATGGAAAATGCAACTTGGCATACCACTTATACCTTCGTAGATTGCATTAGTCAGACATATAGTACCTGCTGCACTCTGCTTGGGTCATCCAGTTGCAGCTTGGCAATGACACAGCCAGGCTCCAGTGCTGCTCCAGCCCTCTTCACAAAGTGAATGCAACCAGACTCTGCAGCCGTAAGGGTCATTACCATCTTCATCACCTGGAATTAGAAGATGTACAGAGTTTACATCTATACAACTCATCAAACAAAAATAAAGTGAATTTAAACAGATTCCATCTTTTTTGTGGACAACATACAGATAACATATTGTACCTCTATTTCAGCATAGCACTGGCCAGAAAACACATGCCCGCCATCCTCAACTGTGTACTGGATAAGTTTTCCTGCTGAAGGAGATCGCAGCAGCGAAGGATCATTCTCCCTTTCGAAAACACAAGTCTTGTTCCCAATTGTGATGCGATACCTGTAGGGAAAAAAATATACTTAGTTGTAACAGAACCAGAAATTATAAGATGCAAGTGCATTAAGTAATTTCTGTAACATTGTTAACTGAGTTGAGATATTTTCAGGCAATGACTTATCAGTGTAATGATGTGTTGTTTAAATATTTTTTAATTACATTTTATTCTAGTTGATAAAATTATAGCTAAATTAGTAATGATATTTTAATTCTAAAGCTTTGTTTGCTCTTACCTGTCCACCTCTTCCTTCATGTACGTAGTGTAGCTGCTTCCATCATAAGACAGCAGGAGACCTCCATCACTGAGCCGATGGACGTCCACCTCAGCAGAGGAGTGGTTCATGATGACCACGTAGGAGTTGGGAGACTGGCGTGTCACAGTCAGGACGTACTTATTACCTTCGTAGATCAGCTCCACATCCACAGTATTAAGTAGTGTGTGTGCTGGCAGCACTTGGCCCCTGGTAAGAGAGTAGAGAGCGTTCTTATGTTTTCTATCCAAACACTGCACAAGTATTTACTATACTTAATATAAAGGGTTTTACAGTGATATGCCATTTTTTTATTTTTACCTTTCCAGAGAATGCAGAAAGTTAGACACACTGTTCCTCAGATTGACATCTGCAACATGAAGAGCGCCGCTCACAATTCCCAGCATGGTGTCGGGACGCTCCGCCTGCCCACGACATACACTTTACTTTTTATCCAGGAAAACATCAAATATTCAAGCTTAAATTCAAAACGCATGGTGCCATGGGCATAAACCACAAGATCTAACTATTATCAACACTTGGTTGTAATGCTGTTTCAACACTGACATTATAATATGGGTCAGTATGTCAAACATATCTTTTCTCACTAGAGTTTTCTTTAAGATCATCCAATGGCCACAGCTGGAACATCTCTGTATACCTGCATCTTCTCTGAGATAAGCCTGTCCAGCCAGCCTGTGTCAATGCTGTTGTGCTGAAAGCTTTCAGTCTCCAGCAGCTTAATGAGGTATTCCACTGTGGTCCTGAAGTCTCCTCTGATAGACAACTCCTTCAGAGCCACAACCATGTTGCTGCAAAAGAACATAGCCACATATGTCAACTATAAAACAGTTTGATCAAACAGTTTAAACAGTTTAGTTTAAACAAAAATATCTCCCAAAGTAAATATATACCAATATTGATAATAAATAAATGGCTTTCAAGTGAGCTTTCTCACACACACACACACACACACACACACACACACACACACGCACGCGCACGCGCACACGCACACGCACACGGACACGCACACACGTTGTTATAATTATATGTGTACTCACGAGATGGCCTCTTCCCGATTCTCTCCCCAAGAGAAACAGTGTCCAAACTGGGAGTCAGCGAACTCATGCAGCCCTCCAGCCGCTGCGACACTGAAGTAGCCCCACACATTTTTATTGCTGCGGAAATTCAGCTCTTGCACCGTTCCAGAGCTTGGCTTGAAACCCTGCGATCAAAACACACACACACCACATTTCACTAAACTGAGCCAAAAAAACAAAAACAGCTAATTTTGTTGTTTAGATAAGTAATAACAACAGCCTTTATTTACTGTACAACAGAATTACAAAGTGAAAATCTGAACAGGAACAGAACAGAAATCAAATACTTTGTTTACCTCATCAGGATTTTCACTGGTGATACGTGCTGCAATGACATGGCCTCGTGGGGAGGGCGCGGTTGACAGACCCTCAAAGTCAATGGGAGAGTCTCCCCATGGCTGGACCCCATAAAGCATCCTGATGTCTTTGATCCTCTGAAGAGGAATACCCATAGCAATCTGACAGAGGATAGTGGCATTACTACAATAAGTTTATGCCCTTGAACTGACATATATAGAACATCAGGGACAGGCTCACAGGCCCTGAACACACAGGGTTAACAACACATTACAGCACATATGTTCATTGTGAAAATATTTGCTTTGAATTGGCCACATACATCTTCCTGGCATGCTCATCTGACAGTTGTTAATGTTATGTTTTCAGCTTTCTAAACAACCGATTAACAATATCTGGGTGAGAGAGTGAGTCCTTTTGTTGTTGCCTGATACTCGTCCCCTGTGCCAGACAGAGTGTGTCACTCCTACAGTAACACCCAATCAGCTTGACTACAAAGCTTTCCCAGGCACACTGCCCTTCAGCTCGACTGCCACTGACCTATTTATGCACAATCCTAAACACTGCAGAACAGAACACGTGACCACAGTGCTGCTACAACCACTGGATCTACTACACTGTTTCTGCGTACTGCCTCCCTCCTTTTGCAGCAGGTTGCCATGGAGACAAGGGGCCCAGTTTAGTGCCGAGCGGTGAAGCGTGCTTACTTTGTCTATTTGTCTACAGGTCAGTCACAGACTCAAACGTATTGTGTGTGATGTAACAGAATGTGCTCTTTGTGACACCGCAAGCATGTCTGTTTAAGACAGACCTGAAGTTGGGCAGCAGGCAAGTTGACATCAGCCACCATCTCGGTACAGGGGTGTTCCACCTGCAGACGAGGGTTGAGCTCCAGGAAGTAGAAGCTGCCATCCTGGCTGTGCAGGTACTCCACTGTACCTGCACTGACGTAACCCACCATCTTGGCCAGCTTCACTGCACACTGAGGAGAGAAAACAACTCTATTCATATCAAGGTTCAATTAATCTGAATTTACTTAGTTGGTCTAAGAACTCCATTTATCTGCTGTACAAAAACAAACAATGCTACGTGGGTTGTACCCTTTCCATATCCTCAAACACATCAGAAGTGGCGATGGTAGCAGGAGCCTCCTCGATAATTTTCTGGTGCCGTCGCTGCACAGAACAGTCTCTCCCAAACAGGGAAATGGCATTGCCATACTGATCAGCCAAGATCTGGACCTCTAGATGCCGGGCATGTTTGGCTAACTGCATGACAAAGATAGGTGATCCTGGAACTTCTGCCTGGACCTTTAGAACCAAAAGAAAGTTAATCCTTGCAGTCAACGAACGTACAAAAAATGTGGATCTCTAATGACATATTGAAACCTACTCTACAATATGTCAAGTCCTGCACTTGATGTTTCAAACTCCATATAATGTGACTTTTCCACTTACCTGTCTGAAGAGGTTAGGGAAATCATCAGCACAGTTGACTTTACGAATGCCTTTTCCTCCACCTCCCTCTGAGGCCTTCACCATCACAGGGTAGCCGACCTTCTCTGCAGCCTGGCAATGAAAACATACAGCTTTATAGCATACACGCAGATATGCACATTATACTAAAGCACAGGCGACATTCACTTGGCAATATGAATGGCCAGTTAGATGACAAGCTTACTTTAAGGCCATCCTCTACATCCTGGATGCAGCCACACTCATACACATCAGTAGGAACGTTGATGATTCTCTTCTTTTGGTTGCTCTCTGTCCATTCTACTGTTAGGCCTGAGAAACACAAACAGATATAATATTCCCCATACATACTTTTCAATTAACTTATATGATGTTAATAACGTGTTAATGACATTTACTATTGCTCAAACCAAACACCTATCACATCTGGTTGAATTCAAGAATCATTGTTTTTAGAAAAACAAAACACACTTCTATTTTGTCATAAACAACCTTAACAAAGGGACTATCTTTGGACCCCCACACAAACTGTGACCTACCTGTGCCACTCCAGGGCAGGGTTGGAATGCCAGCAGTCTGAGCCACAATAGATGAAGCAATCTTGTCTCCTAGTGCCCACATAGCCTGACTTGGGGGGCCTGAGGAAGCAGTAAGGAATTTCAAATAAGCATTCTAGTTCACTAATATCAACTGATAATGTGAAAGTAAGTTAAAGAGTGAACAAAGTGATAAAGTAAGAAGCTTTTCTTACCCATGAAAGCAATGCCATTCTTGTGAAGCAGCTCTGGAAGTTTGGGGTTCTCCGAGGCATGACCCCAGCCAGCCCACACTGCCTGTAAGGAATACAGGACAACAGTTACTCAGTGATAAAATCATGAATCACAGTGGGGAAACTATAGATATAATAAGTGTGTGTGGTGGTACCTGAACAGGTATGCGTTTAGCAATGTCCAGAATGAGCTCCACATTGGCATAGTTGTTGTTGTTAGTCCCTCCTGGCACAGGTACATAATGATCTGCCATTTTGATGTACTCTGTGAAAGACAGAAACACAGAATTTATTTTTTTCCCCAAATGGTTTAACTGCAGTCACATCTACATTATTCCTTATTGGTGTACTGTCTAGCTATGGTGTTTACGTGCACTGAAAAAGAGCTGAAAGGCATAAACTGTCCAGTAATTCCACGTCAGGCTTTGGGGACTTTAGGAATGCTAGTGGAACCACAATTGGTGCACTTACTGCACTTACTTTACATGTCCAGATGCTAAAACTCACCTGCATTGGCCTTGAGGTCCTCTGGGGTTACCATTACAACAAAGCGGATTGCCCTCTCATTGCGAAACATCTCATAGGCCCACCGGCGGATGGAGCGCATGCATTTGACTGCAGCAATGCCATTGTTAGCAATAAGCACCTGGAGAAGCAAAATAGTTTAGTTACAAATGTTAATTTGCTAATTAAAATTAATTAATTAATTAAAATAATCCAATAATAATGGCTGGTGTATGTCACACATAGTGCTGTGCCTGTATGCATTATGACTTTATAATGTAATTTTAGTTCATGGCTATGTAATGCAAAGACACAGACACCTTCATTATTAAAGAGGTTCTACATATTGTTGGGATTATTTTCTGAATACAGAATCATTTAATCTGTGCTTCAAAGCATCTTTATAGGAATGTGCAAAATAATAATCATCACCTTCTCGATAACCTTGTTGCCACCAAAGCGGGTGACAAATTCAGCAGGAGAAGCCACAGTAAAGTCCCTCTGGAGATCGATACGCCGTCGATCTCTGCCTTGCTTCACCAGGTGTAGCCCTGACATGCTTGGCCTGTTTCAAGAAATACAAAGAATGCATGTAATGGCCCTTAGTAACGCCTCTAGTTTTGGAAAGAAGGGGCTGTTAAAAAAATTAAAAGCAAACTACCACATAACTCTTTCACAGCAGATGTGCTTTAGAGACAGTTTATGTTTACAGCCCAGCAGATAAAAGACAATGATATCACCTTACATAGATAGGAAGCAGAGGATTTGACTACTGTCTCTTAGCTTAAGCTTTATAGCTTGTTGGTGAGTAATCGTTCCCCCTTAGAGTAAATGTTAAGGACAACCGGTAAACTCACTAATGATAGGGATGATGGTAATGGTAAGTAAAGAGTCAACTGACATCTTGCAGGTAAGCTAATAATATTTCAAAGACTTTCAAGAAGAAAACTGTTTGCTTATCGGATTGTGCACAACAGGACAAAAACACTTCAAACAACAGTCCTCAAACATATTGACATGCTTGGACAAGCACCTCCAACAGCTCTCTGAAACAAGCTCCACCCTGCAGGGGAACCACATGGGGGGGAAGTATACAGGGGGAGGGATATGACTATCAGCTGGAAGGTGTGGCAGTGCCTGGGCTTGTTTGGCTGGCTGGCTTCTGTGGCCTGATACTGCATTATTGCATCACTGTAGGGGTTACCGGCACAAGGAAAATGAGCCCCTACTGAATGGAGGCTCTGGTTTCAATCCAGCTGTGGAGCTGCCAAAGTTTGTCCTGTCCTATGAGAGGGACAATTAGGGGGGTGGAGGAGACAGACACCCCCATCCAGTACATCTAGTTTTAAAACTGCATTCCCAGCTTCGTTCCGTTTCCCTTTTCATCCCCTTTGTCCTTGTGAAACTGATCACACAAAACCAGACTTGACAAAGCAGTTATTGAGATCAAGGAGGTATCAATTTCCTGATTGGCTGAATAATATAATATAATATAATATATCTAGAAACCATATATAAAAGCAGTTTTTAACCCACTTCAGCAAACTGGGAAAAAAAATAGCATGTAATTATGGTGAAGAATTATAATTCATTTGAAAGCCTTGTTCTTAGTCTTTCCCACCGGACCTTTTCTGCTATCGATCTTCATCAGTTAACTTCAATCATTTCTTCATCGAAGCCATCAACCTGTCTGTTAGACCCAATCCCAACTAGGCTGCTTAAAGAAGTTGTTCCCTTAATTGGCACTTCTTTACTGGATATGATTAATCTTTCTTTATTATCAGGATATGTACTACAGTCCTTTAAAGTAGCTGTAATTAAACCCCTTCTTAAAAAGCCCACTCTTGACCCAGGGGTTTTAGCTAACTATAGACCAATTTCTAACCTCCCCTTCCTCTCTAAGATTCTGGAGAAAGTAGTCGCCAAAGAGTTGTGTGACTTTCTACATAACAATAGTTTATTTGAGGATTTTCCGTCAGGATTTAGAGTTCATCATAGCACAGAGAAAGCTCTGGTTAAAGTTAATAATGACCTTTTGATTGCTTCTGACAATGGACTTGTCTCTGTACTTGTATTATTAAATCTTAGTGCTGCATTTGACACCACTGACCATAATGTTCTTTTACAGAGACTTGAGCATCAAATTGGCATTAAAGGAACCGCACTAAGCTGGTTTAAGTCATATTTATCAGATTGGTCGCAGTTTGTACATGTTAACGATAAATTAGACACATCCTATCACAGACAGATGCAGAAAAACTAATCCATGCATTTGTTACTTCTAGGCTGGATTACTGCAACTCTTTATTATCAGGTTGCCCCAATAAGTCCATTAAAACGCTCCAATTAATTCAGAACGCTGCAGCACGAATACTGACAGGATCTAGGAAAAGAGATCACATCTCTCCTGTACTAGCTTCTCTGCATTGGCTCCCTGTAAAATTTAGAATAGAATTTAAAATCCTCCTCCTCACCTACAAAGCTCTTCATGGTCAGCCCCCTTCATATCTTAAAGAGCTCATAGCACCCTATTACCCCACTAGAACACTACGTTCTCTGAATGCTGTGGTTCCTACAGTCTCTAAAAGTAGAGCCAGAGCCTTCAGTTACCAAGCTCCTCTCTTGTGGAATCAGCTTCCAGTTGTGGTTCGGGTGGCAGACACCCTCTCCACATTCAAGAGTAGGCTTAAGACATTCCTCTTTGATAAAGCTTATAGATAGGGCTGGATCAGGTGAGTCCTGAACCATCCCTTAGTTATGCTGCTATAGGCCTAGCCTATCAGGATTTCCCATGGTGCACTGAGCTCCTCTCTTCCTCTCTCTCTCTTTCTGCACTCATTCATGTCCCATTAATGCATGTTAATGAATGGTGGTACTGTTGGGTCTCTGTAAATGTCATAAGGAGTTCGGTCTAGACCTGCTCTATTTGAAAAGTGTCCTTAGATAACTTCTGTTATGAACTGGCGCTATACAAATAAAATTGAATTGAATTGAATTGAAAGATATTCTGTAGGCAGTCACCTACATCAGCATGCAATCTCATTTGAATCACAAACCCAAGGCTTCTGTGAGTATTCAGAGCAAATGTACAAGCACCCCCTATCTGTGAAAGTGACAGTGAAGGGAAAAGGCCTACATCGGGGCCCAGTGAACAAACAGCGGCTGGCAGAAAGACTTCTTCAAGCTTGTAAAAACTTTCTGTCAGTATTGAATAGCTCCTTTTGACTGTCAGCTCAGGAATTTCTCCGTGTGAACTTTTCCAAACCAACATTCTGAAGTCTATGCCTACTTTCCAGGCCTACCTCACAGACTCAGACACAGAGAGACCCTTAAGCAGTGTGCAGTTAGTGAAACCACATTTTTTTCACATGTGCTGCAAAAGGGGCTACCCAGTCAGTGCAAAGTCGGAACATAGTGTACTCATTTTGGACACGACCTGCTCAAACAGGACTAGTCTCATAAAAACAGCATTTGAAGTTGCAAAAATACTTGCAAGAAACACTACATATTTAAAACCCTCGAACAACTTCCAAATTAGGAAAATGTGGCTTCTGCAACATGTTACATTATTGATACAAATTGGTCTGCAAGCCTGAGAAATATAAAGCTTTAAAATACCGAAACAAGTCATCACAGAACAAACCTGTATCCACACACAACCACTATCATGATCACAATATTAGGCGAAAAATTGTAAATGAACATCGAAAGACTAGCGGCAATTCAGACAGACCAGGTTTGGATCCCAACCTTAGATTGTGCATGGGGCCATCAATATGGTCAAATCCCATTTCATAGGTGCTGTCTGAGCTACCGGATGATGGTGACAAGGATCGGGGCTCCTTTTCCTCCAGCTGGATGTCAGGCTTTCCCTGGATTTCATCCTCTGAGTTCTCCTCCGATACTGATCCCACAATAAAGTGAGAGTGCAACGCCGCAACGGCGGGGTTCTTCTTAGCAGCACCGTCCTGCTGTGCCATGGCTGGGCGACACGAACAGGCTGCGAATACTGGCAAGAAACACAACAGTGGCAGCAACAGTTATAAAGGCGATACAGAGTCCAAATATCAGGGTACAGTGTGACACAAGATTGTCTTGACCAACATGTGATGCTGTTTGTCATATTGCAAAAGTGGGTTACATAAACTTAATCTTGATAAATCAACTGATATTGCAACACTTGAACTCACACTGGGAGCATCAGTACATCGTGTGCAACTTCTAAAAAAAAAAAAAGTACCATTGTTGGACATACAGCTGTATATCAGAATTCAAGAAGGATGAAATAATTACATTTGCACACATGCATATGTATGCAAATGTAATTATTTGCTTTATATGCACAAATGCTGGTTAACAGTAGTAACCAAACAGTCAGAAGCACCTGAAGCACTCTTGCAGGCTCAGATAACTGCAGCCACATGAAACAACACTGCCTATGTGAAAAGCATACAAACAGGTTTCACTCTGTAAAACATGCACAAATCCTGCCTGCATGTGAGATACACTTGTCTGCCAATTCAAACCAATGCACACAAACACACTTTTAGCCAATGTAAGGGTTGACACAATTGTATCACTACAATTGTAGGTTGAATGAATTGATTTCAGAGCACATCTCATCGTTAATACTAATATTACCTACTCTAGTGTCAGACTTCCTTCACTTTCTCGTTCAGTAGCTAAGTTACCGAGGGTGTCCTAACATCACCCTATGGAAACAATGACGGTGCTGTACAACATGTCTGTTTCTTTACATTGCTACAACTAACGTAATATATATAGATATATATATATATTTTAATACAACTAATCGTTAAAGCAAATAGAGTAAACTCCCGGGTAACGGCTTAGACACACCTTACCTAACGATAGCTGCTTGCGGGACCAGAAAAACAAGCCGAGCACTGCTGAGAGACACACTGCAAACGTGAGCCAGGGGAACATCACAGAGTGAGAGCGAGAACTGCATTTAGCTTCTTAACAGACTGGAAATTCGGACATAGACCATTTTATGTACCGTTAATGGTATATGTTAGCCGGTGGACTGCCTTCTAGCTGAGGTTAGCCGCTGCTTAACGTTAACGTTACCTGTCTAGTCACAGCTAGCTTCACAGCAGCCCCAGAGAGACTGAGACGATGGTGATAATAATGCAGGCGTTAGCTAGCTTACCGGCACAAGCTAATACAATTATCATGCCACAGTAGCGGCACTACTACAGTACTGCTGACTGCACTCTAACAGTGTACTGTCACGTTAATGCAGCGTGGTCGAAATCTTCTGAGCGCAACGGATGACAGGCAGACTGGTGTAACATAATCTAGGCTAGCAACTCACCGGTGGAGATAAACCGAGACGTAATCCTGAAAAAGTTCACTCCGAGAGATCGATAACTGAGCTGAGTCTGTCAGACATATCGGTTTCCAGGGATGATGAACAAAAAAAGAAAAAGATCACATCATGATGAGGTCACAGCCCCAGCAGACGCTCTAACAGCAGAGAGTGGGGTGATGTGCTGATGCGCAGGCAGGTTACTCCTGGACGTTGACCTCTGACCGCAGCTTCCGCTATAGAAATACAACAGGTAGAAAAGAGTCCACACGCGAGACGGTTCAACGAGTAGTATGTGGGGGATGAAATTAAAATGGGCGTGAAAAATGAAGTATTTCAGATGCTTTCACTCGTTTGCTATTATTTATTTATAGTTCATTAAAGTCGATTTTTTTAGTTATTCTACGTAGTTTAAAACTAGTAATAGTCTCAATATGAATATAGAAATTCATCTTAATGTTGCTAAATTAAACTATTAAAACAATATCAAATGTGTGAATAGCTAAACCTCATTACACACTGAAGCTGAACTTAAAAAAAAAAAGCTAAAACAGTTCATTGCTATTTCAATATTGCTACTGAAGCACTTTGCACTACCAATTACCAGGGACTTTCATATTATAGTCAGTGAGTGTATGTGTATATATATAATATATATATATATATATATATATATATATATATATATATATATATATTAAATATATATAATCCTTTTTGAGTTAGTTACATTTAAAACATTATTTCTTCTCTGCCTCTACGATTTTCTTCATGCTTTTTGTCTCTGTGATAATTGTGACTTGGCTGCTGTAAGAATACCCCATTGGTATTGATGAAGTGCTCAATCTATAGCACTCTTAATGCCACAGGCCACTATTACAGAATTGTTCTTATTCATTCAAACAATTGAGTCTTAGCATACTATACATCATAGTTACATCAAACAACAAAAGAAGAACATATTCACTGTACATTAAATACTTTCTATTTCAGCTAGATCTAGGAGGGCTTCATTCGCATATCAGATTCCAGAGCGGTTATTGTGGGCGGGGTTTAGTAGGGTGACAGGAGGGGCGGGTCCCGGAGGAGGTGGTCCCTCTTCATGCGTGTTCCGCGTGTACTGTGCGTACAGTAAATGTGAAATGATCTGCGTCTGCACCAGCTTCCAAAAATCTGCCCATGTGCTTTGCAAACATTAAAGGTGGCGTCTAGTCAGAATACATTTCAATACTTATGGGACGAAGACTTTTAATTCATTACTCTTTTTCATGGTTTATGTGAGCGTGTGTGTGTGTGTGTGTGTGTGTGTGTGTGTGTGCGTGTGTGTGATAATGTAAGCAAAGTATCTTACTAATAACTGAGCGGACTACTCTTGCAAAGGCTCTTCACTTCTGTTTGCATATCGGCATTCTGAAAGATAAGTCATGTTACTGCAGCACAAGTTCAAACAAGTAAGAGCAGAATTCAGCTAGTTGGCTGTAGGCTATTAGTCTGACAGCAAATTACTAATAATGACCAAAGAGACTGTTGCAGCTACAGGGTAGCATACAGTATTTTTTAAAGCAATGTATTGCTCCCACTAGACAGTGGAATGGACTGCAGGTTAAGCTGTATTGCTTGTCATGTGAAATACAGTAATGAATCATTCATCAATTTCATTTTTAATTTAATTTAATGAAAAAAAAAAACAGAACAGAACTTGATCTCAGAGGCTTCTCCTTCATCTGCCTTTATCACTATTGTATCTCTTTTTTTCATTTTTTATAGCTGACTAAACAAGTAAGAGCTTTATGTTTAAGTTTAATGCTGAAACCAAATCAAATCCATGTCAGAAAATATGGAGATTTAATTCTAGTGAAATAATCTCTCAATGCCAATGTCAAAACATCATAGAGTAACTTTAATGTAACTATTAATTAAAAATGCAGTGTTACTGCAATTGTGATCCACTAGATGGCTTCAGAGGGCATTTGTTTGCCATCTCTATGTGCAGTCAGTTTAGGACAATGGCAGAGTTCACAGCCCCATTCCCAGTTTGTCAAATACAAAAGTGAGCAGTGTTCACTAGTTGCAATCTGCAATTAGATCCATCTAAATCCTACTTTAAACATCTGCACACCTTTATGTATCCACAGTCTAGCAAAGCCCTGCATACATTTTAGTGCTTTATTCACAGTTACACAGGCTTTTGGATCTCTGTTAAGAGCATTATTCATATTGTATGCTACAGATTGTGTCTCAGCACTTACTTTCAGGTGAAATTTATAGCACCAATACATGCAGAGCATTCTTACAGCATCCAGGGATACACCATGTTGCTTTGACACTGTGTCATGCAAATTGGTAATGATTAATTTAAAAATCCCATCTGAGCTTTACAGACCTGAGAAAGTGTATTGCCTCTCTTGACACATCACAGATTAATTATACAAGGGCAGCCGCATGTGGTTTAAATATAATCTTACCTGCAAGTTAATAGTCTTTAAGTTAGTATTCCACACACTGCAATGTGAGACAACTGCTTTCAGCCCCACACCTATGCTACTGCCTGCCTGTCAACTAGGCCTAAAGAAGAGGAATATGGGTGGGTGAGGCAGTAAAAAGCTCTCCTTCCCCTTTGGTGCCCGAGGCCCTTTCTCCTTCCAACCCCCAAGAACTCCCTAGCACTGAAGGAAGACGTTTTTTTGCTGTCTGCAGAACTTTACAGTTGACCTCCTCACACATTTTTGAGCCAGTGGAGATGTGCTTTCAGTGTAACGCCACGCTCAGCCAAGGAGAAAATGGACACAATAGAGGTTTGAAAGGAGCCCAGCACAGAGGGGGGCCTTTCAGATCAATTTTTCTTCTAGGAGACCACCTGACTTTTTAGCACATACAGCTACAGCTTTGCTGTGGAGGGTCATGCCATGGTTGTTTTGTCATGACTGAAAAATGAACACAACGAGATTTTGAATGATAGCTTCCTTCTTCATTCCCTAAAAAAATGATGAAATTCAAAATATCACCCACAGATTTAACCTTTAAGAAGTACAGTGTTTTTGAGTTGATTCCACCAAGCACTGTGTCCACAGTTAACAGACTGCATAGTTAAACTGAAACTTATTTGCTCACCACAAAAAAACTGCAAACTGCATGAACCAATATTTAGTTTTAATTTGGCAGTAATATGTGCCAGAGCAAGAAGAAACCTGCAAGTGACAATTTTATTATTATTAATATTACAATTGCATTTGATTTATTCTGACATTTTACTGTACTGTTTTGCATTGATAATTCAAGCACTGTGATTTTATTTCAAAGCAACATTTCTATGGAAAAGCCATCACAGGCCAATGTATTAAAGAGAACTAGACATGGTATTGCAAAACGGTCACCATTTTTTCCCAATTATTTGCTCATATAAGCTAAAACGTTTTTGCTCCTCCTGATTGGTTTCCCTAGCCCCAGAGATCACACAAAAAATTACTTATTATTATCTAACTTTTTTAAATAGACCAATCTTAATGGGTTAAAAATTAATAACTGACAATGTGAGCCTTTAAAGGTGTCAACAATTTTACAAGTGTATTCTTTATAATGGCATATAGTATAGTATAGTATCCACCTCTCTTGATACATGTACTGGCTTTTCCCTTTGATAGCTCTTCCTCCACGCTGGGTGCCACATCCCTGCTGATGTCAATCAGGCAGAGGACACATCATCAGCAAAACTAGCAGCCTTCCATTGCTTGGTGTACAGCATGTGCATGAATGAACAGAGAATTTACTCTGCTGTGTCTTTGGCTTTTATCCAAGGGTAAGATATACCATCTCTTTTGCATATTGTATATATCCCTTTAACTGCCTGGTCAACCAAGCACATTTTGAGTCACTATATCTAATTGAGTGTTTAAATCTATTCAACCTGATTGAGCCATCTCTACCATTCGGCTACGGTATGTTATGTTAAAAAAATCCAGTAGAGGTCCTTCCATCTTTATACAGTAGGCCTGTTCATTTCCCCTCGAACAAAGAAGTGAAAAGCGGGAAAATCACCCCAGACATGTGGACTGTTTTTGGTGAAATATTGAAAGGTAAGCATATATTTTGGCACATCATACTGTCAGAGGCTTCAATGAACAAAACTATGTTACTTATTGCCACAAAACAAGTCTAACAAATGTGTCAGAATTTTTTGAAAACGACCTCAACCAAATGGTTGATTTGTCAGTTTATGGTAAACCTAGCAACATTAAGCAAATTTGATTAAAGTTGACTTTTTGCTATGGCATATTACCACAAATAAAGTGGGTCCAATGCCCAAAAACGTGTTTTTGTTGTGTATTTCTTCATAAATTAGCATTATATTTGATTTTTTTCCCCCAGGTTTTGCTATTTTTATGAATTTCGGTACTTTAACCATGAAACGACATCTCGACCATTTGGTAGAGGGCTGTATTTTAAAAACTATGGTTTCAGTTAAAAAAAAAATCAGCAGCTTGCTACATGTGTTTGCATGTGTGGACTCTGTATTTAAAAAGTGACATGACCTTGTGTCACAACGTACAACTGTCTTCTAATGCCTTCCAGTGTCTCCCTGTGAAGCTTTTTTGCTCTATATTCATGAACATATACAAGCATGCACTTACACTGCTGACACTGTGAATATATGTTAAAAAATATGTATAAATCTATATAATAGTGTGTGGAAAGGTCATAAACGTTTTATATTTAATAGTTTATAATTAATGTCCTTTATGTATCCCAAAAAAGTATTTCTGGTGCAGCTTGAAAACATGTACGCGCAGAGGGCTTTGCTGTCACAAGCAGAGATGTTTTGGGAATTGCCCTAGCAAGCAGTGAGCTGCAGTCATGCATGTGGAATGAAGTGTGCGGGACCACAGACTCACTCATTCACCTTTATTGCTCAGCCACCATTACTATGGCCAAGGGCATGGCAGCAGCTGCTGTTGTGCAGCACCACTTTTAACAAATAATAAAATGCAATACAAATTTAATTCTTTAGTGTCACATTTTTTTATTTGCCAGTTTAAAAAGAAAAACATGGTCAGTACTCATGGTAGTAGTAGTAGTAGTCTAAGATTGCTAACCAAAACCCTTACTTCACAATTAAAGTCAGAAGGTTCATAGCCAACTTTGCCATTTGACTGTCAATGCCTTTTGAATGACAGTGACAATAAATTAATGTGGTTAGAAGGGCAGCTGAGGGCAAGGCATTGCGAATCAAGCCCAGAAAGGGTAAACACAGGAGCTTAGGTTAAATTAAAGGATTACCTTTTAACATCCAGACAAATCCTAATCCACATTAGTTAACTGAACAGAACTCTTGAATCCACTTCAAATTCATCTACAATACGTGTCCATGTACAGACCTTGATCTTTGATGGTCTATAAAATAAAATAATTACTAATGAGCTTCACTATTTTTTTAGTTTTGTATTTATTGTGTGTAAGAACAGTGTTTAACACAGCAAGTACATTTCTATGCAGAGTGCATACGTAATGTGATATCTGACAAAAGACATCTGCATATGTAATGTGCTATTTAACATCAACAATACTATTTCCATATAGTGTAAACATATTAAGACAACTGTATGAATTGTGAAGATTTTATTTAAATTGTGAAAAAAAAGCACACAAAAAACAATTTACCTGAATAATTTGGCAGACAACCTGCAAGATTACTGAAGACATTTTACAATTGCTGGTTAAAAAAATAAAAAAAACAATCCTGAGTTTTCCATGGTGCGGATTTGGGGCATCAACAGAATGTGAAAGTGTGAATAGGTGGTATATAATGTCTTCACATCTCATTGGCAGGCTTTGATTAGGTGTGTTTTATACATGTACGTGAAAATAAAAATGACAAAATATTTACATCATCATACAGAATAAAGCAATAAAAAACTGTTTATTCATGGTTAAAGCACATTATTTTCCTTATAGAGCATTCCACTTTGGGCAGAGTTTTGCATAGCTCGGTTTCCCCAAAGAAATTCCAGGGACCATCTTTCATTTTAATTGCAAATCAAAAGACCCTGATGTCTAGGTTAAAACTGGGCTAAATGTGGTTGAATAAGTGAAAGCGTTGTTAGACATTTAGGTTGCATATAACCAAAGTACTGAAATGACTATATTCTAACGTAGTTAGAAGCGGCTTCACTGAAAGATAGTGAATATACTTAGGCCTAGTGTTGACATAAAGGTCTAGGTGTCTTTTGACCTGAAAATCATCAAATCAGTGTTTATTAGGCAAGTTTATTGAGATAATACCAAGTTAAATAGCAGCAAAACATGCAGTTTCTGCCGGTTATTTATTTTTGGTGATCATTATGTGCAGCTTTATAAACTTGTCTGTGTGACGATCACCAAATATCCACCTATCTATTGTGGAGGAAGTGGTCTATCAAGTCCTCTCACCAGATTATGTATATTTTGCAGTTCATTCATGGAACCCTTCACAGTGTTTCTCGATGGTGCAGACTTCTGCTTAGCCTTGCTTTTGTGACTGTGATTGTCAGACACTGGACTTGAGTTTCTGCTTCCTGATTTAGACAGCTCAGATTGTGAGTTTGAACTGCCGGGCGATCTGGTAGTACGCAGGTGGTTTTGGCTCGAGGTGACGGAGTTGGGGATCTGATAAGGGCTGAATCGCAACCAAGGTCGAGGGCTGCGGAAACAGTGGTTACTAGCCAGCGTAGAAGTTGCAGAGCAGGTGGGAAGAGCTGGAGCTATTGCGGCTGATGCTGCCATGTAGCGATATGGATAGGAGAGCAGTCCTCCAAAGGGTGACAGTGAGATTCCCTGTACGAAAAAATAAAATAGTTATTTTAGAAAATAGGATTTTCTGTTTTTTCTTTTTTACATGTTTATGTACAGACCTGTACAGTTTAGTAAATTAAATATCGAAGAAATAGATACTGAGGCATTAAACAGAAGACAAACACAAAAAATATGAAGTCGCAATGCCATGCATGCATCTGTGATTGGATTTAGTTTCTAACACCTTTTATTCCAATGTTTCAGCAAATGATGTCAGTGCAGGTAATTGATCTAATCCCATCAAGGAACAAGAGTAGTATTTAACACTTACACTTTACTCTGCATTGACTCTGACCAGCTTACTGCAAAGGTCTATATACTTTATATCTGTTTTCATAGAATTTCATTATTCTGAGGTTGAAACTGTTGTTTCAAGAGGCCAATTTTTACTCTTTGGGAAAATGTAGGTAAAGTGGAAATGTTATGCCAAGGAGAAAGGTTTGGGGTCCTTAAGAGAATGTCAGTTAGAAGTACACAGAATAAATCTGCACTTTACTAGACCCATTTACAGGAAATTATGCTCAAACTGCTTGTAACCCCTTAATGCACAGCCACATCTGTTTGTGTCCCCATGTTGCAGGTTGCAACCTTTCAGCTGAGGAGTGATTTTACTGTCTACAATTAGAGAAAGGTAGAAAAATAAGCAGAATTTTGTAATCATCTTATGAACTCTGCAATTCATTCACTCTTGACTCCTTGAAAGTTGGGGACCACTGGCCTGGATTAGAATATTAGTGTATTATAAAGTATACTAGAATGTACCAACGGATTGACCCTGCAGACTTTTTCCCTTTTCACCAGAAGTTCAACCCAGCTCCTTATCTGTGCTTTCCTTCAAATCGGCCCCCAATTAGACACCCTCCAAGCCCCTGCTTTACAGGCCAACTGGCCCTCCCTTGCTTGAACCAAGGAAGGGAGAGTTACAGTAGAAATTAACTTCCCATCCTTTTTCTCCTTGTTTTCCAGTTGAAACAGCAGTTTTGAAGAAATTTCTCCAACAACTCCTCTGGATAATAGTCTCCTGGCTCAATGATCTTTCATGCAGTACAATTTAGGGGTTAGATCACCCAAAATCCCAAAATATTTTGTCTTAGAGGGCCTAGAGATATCACCTTGTACATTTCTGCTGCTGTGACAATATGTGGTATTTAATTTAGGGTTATTGTGGATAATCCACACACCTCATTGTAAACAGTTTTCACCACAAGTGTTTTAGAACAAAGAAATAGTCCCGATGAAAATTCTCAGCTTTCAATATCTATTCACTATGTGTATTAAAATATATGTGTATATAAAACATTAGAATACAGTGCTCCTGCTGAAGTTTACCTGAGATGCCAGCATATGTTGTGACAGTTGAAACATGAAGGGAGATGGAGAGGTGATGCTTTGAGAAGAAAGGCCTCCATTTTCTAGGTTATTTACTCCAGGCAAAGAAGAAAACAGATGTCCCATACCCGTGGTGGAAAAAGCCTCTGGCTTCACTGACAACTGTCCAGGATTAAACAACAAAGGTGCCCCAAGTTTAAGAAACTGTTGGCTGTGCGCACTTGAGAAATCCAAAGTCTGAAGGTGTCCAGCGCTGAGGGATAATGAACTCACCAAAGGCAAGACCCCATCTTTGATTTCACTCATTTGGTTTTTGGAAGAATCGACCTCCACCGAGTACATATCATCCGACATTCTAAACATTGTTCTGTCTTTTGTTGTGTCCTGATTGCCATTGCTCATAGTGAGAGCTGACTTCCACAGTATCTCCTCACTCTTCTGACTCAGAGCAGACATATGTTCAGTCCTGGAAGAGCCGGTTTCAGCAGCATCCTCATCTTGTAGATCATCATCTGAATCACTTCCAATGTTGTTTTCATCTGTGGGGGGAAAAACATTACATTCATTAAATGTCTTTATAGTTAAAAGTAAAAAAAAATGTATATTTCTGCCTTGTTAGTACTGTATATTATTAGAACACTATTGGGACAGGGGTGATAGACTCTTGAGAGAGATGACTTAGAGCAAACATCTTGAGGCGTGAGAGAGACAGTGTTCTTCTGTGACTAACCCAACGGCGCCAGAAACAGATGATTCATTAAAGCAAACTATTTTTGTTTTATTAAATTGAGTCACACAGTAAATTGGGGTTGAGGTCTACAGTTGAACAACTTCCCTCTGTGTTTGGAATGTTCACATTGCTGCCATCCTAGTACTCAAATACGCATTATGTAACCGCAGAGTCCCCGGTCCAGTGTCACCTTAATCCCACATGATAATGATGAATGGATACGATCATGTTGTAAAAGACTCTTGAATCCTCAAATACAGTAGTTATGGTAAGTCCTGTAGAAAATCATTTGGTTTATAGAAACGTTGCCATAAAGGCTGCTTAATGATGAAACAGACAGTAAGTTAACCACCTTGACAGGTTGGTGTGGACATCAGAGGGCTGCTCACCAGCTCCCAAGGGGAATACAAAGGATCACTGGTACTGGGTTGCTCACACGAGTCATCAGAATCAGCACAGTCCTGGTCCGCTTTGCTTCGATTCTCGTGCAATGAAGAGATGTTTAACTGCTTATTCCTGTGTACCACAAACTGAGATTAGGTCTACCCATGCAGGCATGTCCTTTAATATTCTGATGGATTCTGAAGACAAAAAAAAATACCTCTTTTCTCGTTTCCCATTTCCAGTGTCTCTGAATCCTTTGGCAAAGGGATTGTTGTCGATTTTTAGCTGTGTAATCTTATGGGGAAAAAAAGTGGTGAGTTAGTCATTGTAAAAATACAGCTCCTTGTTAAGTGATAGATAAGTGCAACATTAGTATCCATAAAGTTCATAATGAGGACCAAGTTTTGGAGAATCTTTTTTTAGGCTTTATAACACTAAAATATACATCTCAGTTTCTCAAACCATCCCAAAAGGCGCCAGACTTGTGTTTTTATCAACAAATTTCCTATAAATAAAATCCACAACCCTGCAGGATCATTGCATTACCTGCTATAATGCACGCACAGGACTAGATTAGGTCTTGCTATTTGTGCATGTGTGCACGTGTGTGTGGAGGAAGGAGGATGTGAGAGGATGAAGGTTACCTTTTCATTCTGATACGCAGTGACAGCAATGAACTCGGTCTCAGGGAAAACATAAGTCCGGAAAGTGCTGTAGGGAAGCTTCATGATGTCGTTGGCTCTCACAACATGAAATCTGGGTTGGTATTTATGCATTGAGTTCAAAATGGTCTGCAACAATAAAAGCAAAGAAAGTCTAGAATGAATATTGCTGGCAAGTTGCCTAGTACATGATGTAACTGACTTAAATGATAAGTAGGCTAAGTGATAAAATAAGTAACAAGGTCACTTTGAACTCACATTGACATGTGCAGCCAGTTTAAAAATAAGTCATATATGCTATAATTAAAATTTCTGTTATTGTTACTTACAAATCCATGTTTGTCCGAAATATTATTAGTGAGTTTGAGTTTATGAAAAGCAACGGGCTTGCTCATCCACTGCTCTCCTTTGGACGGACTGTCCGGGTGGATGTACATGCGCTTTGGCATCTCCGGGTCGCCCTTCCCAGCCACAGTCCAGCCGGAGTTGTGAAACTTGTAGCGGCAGTCATCAACGGCGACAATGTCCATAAGCAGGATATATTTTGCTGTTTCATCCAGCCCGTCTACCCGCACTTTGAAAGGTGGAAACATCCTCCTGTATCAAAAAAATAAACGAATATTGGGTTACATTCATTAATGTTAGAAATGGGTTTTGGAGCATTTTTCCCCATTAATATAAAATATGAAATATGGAGTATTTAAACGTCTGATCATAGTGGGAATGTAAAATAATTGTATGACATTGTTATTAATAATATAGCACGGATTGAACAGGGGCCCTGGAACTAAGTAATGGTCTCCTGTGGCCCCCGACCTAGGACTAATATAGGCCTACTGGTAATCACAAACTTAAAAATGACTCTTACATTGGTATTATCATCATCATTTTTTTTTTCTACAAGACATCTACAAATCTGATCATATTGTAATCTTAAAACGATGGAATTTCAAACCCACGGATAAGTCCTATAATGGCCCTGTCATGGATTCAATGAGCAGTAGTTTTCCATACCTTCCTGATTTTGTAATAACCATCTCAGTCCCCCTTTTGTGAAATTCACTCCATAGATTCTGTGAGTCCAGAGTGACTTTCGGGTCATCATCCTGCCCTTCATCTGACTGCAGGCTCTTTAAGGACCGCGGGTGAACTGGCTGATGTTGGCGTCCCAGAGCTGCGTGCAGCCCCGCTTCCAGAGGTTCGGACAGGGATGCGACTTCTGGGAAAGTGAGCGCAGGGAAAAACGAGGGCTGCGCGGCGGCAACGAAGGCTGACAAGGGCAAGGCACCCGGTCGATGAGCTTGGAAAGGATGGTAAGCCATGGCAGCCGCTGTGTCAATTGGATCTCTCATCAGGACATCCGATACAAAGTCTCAGCCCGCTTGCTGCTGGAGGCGCACGGACTTTCACATCCAAAGTTACCTTATTAACAGTTTGTGAGTTCCGAAGCATGGCCAAGAGTTTAGATGAGGGAACGGAGATTTCTAACGATTCTGGGGCAAAAAAAAGGCAAGGATGGTCCTGAATGTATCCGCTGGTAGATCCACCACGGAGAGGACAGCGCGCTTTGGGACCATGCGCAAAGCTTGTTTCGAAAGCTGCAGTGGCACTGAGGAGTGAGGGCAGAGAGAGGAGTGGAGTCTGCCCTCTCAGGCACATGGCACATTAACGAGCCAAACGTCTTCGGCGAAGCAACTTCTCTGTCCGAACCTATTAGAGAGCGCTGGGCGTGGATAGAAGGAGACAGCCGGATTTGAATGGGTTAGTAACACAGCATTAATGAATTATTAAAGTAACTTTCAACAATTTCGGTTTTTATGATGTTATAGTAACAATAGTAGTAATGGGAATTAATAATACTTTTTTTTATTTTTTTATTCAGCCAATACTACTACTTCTACTACATAATAATAATAATAATAATAATAATAATAATAATAATAATAATAATAATAATGATAATAATAATAATAATAATAATAATAATAATAATAATAATAATAATAATAATAATAATAATAATAATAATAATAATAATACACAGCTGATGGTCCTCCTGCCATCTTCCCAAAATGTCAGTCAGTGGTAACTAATTAAAAACTATTAAACTATTAACTAACTATTAAAAATAAACTTTTACTCTTGTGCTGTGCCACTGCCCGACTCTATATCCGTTTATCCGTCTTTTGGAAACATCGCCACTTTTTGATTAAGTATGGAGGGATGAGTGAATCTGTTCATTAAGGCGGACCTGGCGCCAGTTTGCTGGCGTCCCACAAAGAGCTCTCTTCTGTCACTTCACATTAGGAAACTCTCCAAATCCTCAAGTCTCCTGCTCCAGTTTCCTTTTCGGGTGCAGCCTGGAGTCTACACGGCTTGCTTTGGTGATGCAGGAGAAAACCCCCGAGTTAAGAGTGAATGTGATTGAAGTCCAGTGATGTAAATAAAAGCAGCACTCGACTGATGAAATACTTTTTTTTCGTTATGAGATAAACTGTCGGGCATTTTGCCTCCTCACTGATGACAAGACGAGCTTCCCCCCCCCCCCCATATTTAGGGATATAGGCCTATGTTTTATTTGTTTTTTATCTCTAGATTGAGCAGTAAACTGACTTGGGGTGAAATTTGCACGGGTTTTCAATAATTCATCCATCAATTAGCTATAGTAGTTGAGTAGGCCAAAGTGAATTTTTCGGGGCAAAAAAAAAACAAAAAATCTAATTCAGCTTCCTTGGTACCATGTGATTGGGTTAACAAAAGATGGACCTGCTGTAGATTGTAATTGTGATTCATCAGGTTCACAGGTGATATTAAAGGACTCTATTCCAGTATAAGTCTAATATTACAAGGCTTTAACCGTATTTATTAAAACAATATATATATATATATATATATATATATATATATATATATATATATATAATTGCATTTATTTAAAAAAATATACGTCTTAATTAATCATCATCATTTGTAGTTTCTTTTAACATCTTCCTGCATTTACGTCAACAGAAGCGTGGGGAATCTTTCCGGCTCCTTAATAACAAGACAGGCAGTGCAGTGAATAACCTCAGCATGTGAGTAAACTGGTTGGAACCATAATGAGATAATGATAATAAAGGGAATTAAACAAACACACACAGTACACCCACACACATTGACCTCAACGTCCAATGTCTTCTCTGGATTTGCAGAATGATAATCTCATTGAGATTGCCCACCCCAGTAATCCACAATTTTCTTTCCTTTTCTAGGTGGGGTTGCTAAATTACTGTTTCTTCACTGACACAATTACAACAAACTGTTTAGAATTTAGTGGAAAGAATTATGTTTGCTTTGTTGACATCTTTGTAAGGCTTACTGAATAGGCCTATTTACAGGCCTCTAAAGTTATTGAAAAGGTTTGACTGTTTTATGTAAATCAGTAATTAAAAAATCTTTAGCTTTTTTATTTACTTTTCATTTAAGTTTTGTGAAAATAAAACATTGCATGCAAAAATCACATTCCATGCTTATGTGGTTCTTGTACCATCACGTAAAACAGAATATAACTCTGCACAGGATTTCACAATCATTGAATAATGCAAACTAGAAATAAAAGAAGAACTGCTGTTTTTCTCTCTGCTGTATACCTAGGGCTGAACCACGATGAGTACAAGGTGAAGTGGAGTGCTGCTTGACAGTTACAAGGCAGGAAAAGCTTCAGATAGGAAGTGATCTCACAGGTCCCACAGAATGATGAATGGCTCCCAAGATAGTGAAGGGTAATAACTTGTAATCGAAGCCATAAGATGAGTTCAGAGAAGCGTGATTGAGCGATGAAGGGTGGGAAGACATTGTTCTCCATTCCTTTCTGTATATGTTCACAGAAATGGCGTGCACGAGGTTGCCTGTCTAACACAGCCATTGGCAACACTGCGCGAAAGGGTTTGGGGTTGAAGAGGGGAGTGGCGGTGGTCTGCTTTTCCTCACTCAGCGCTACTGTGAGGGATGGATGGTCTATACTCCGCCATTCTTCTCCGGTGCAGCTCCAGCCGACAGCTTGGGAGAAGCACCAGAAACAGGAAGGAGGCAATCAATCTGAGTGATGGTGCATGAATTTCACCTCTCTGGTCACAGTCCACACCTGGGACAAATTCAGAAGAATGTTCGGCCACTGAGGGTTCCTGGCAAGTCATCCAAAGGGCAAGCCAGTAAAGTACGAATCACATCTGAAGGTTGGAGTGCACTCTTAAATGACAAACGGGAGGAAGAGGAGAGGAAGATAACTTCAGTGTGGACTTAAGGCTGAGCAAAGAGGTCTAAGGGCCGGTCACCTCGAGTGTTGTCTGGGCTCTGTATTGTCTTGTTTTAATCATCATATCATGTGGGTAACATAATAGACACAACATATGGATCTGTTTATCCTGACTGTAAGATCTGGATGGTGGGATTAGTGCAGCTCCAAAACCAGGGAGTTTTATCACAGAAAGGCTTAATTATTTATTCAATTTGAGTATCTTTCCTGTAATGTGCAGGAAAAATATTCAGACCCTGTGCCTCCTTTTATTTTTTATTAAAACATAATGAACCATATGTACATTAGAACAACCTACATGGAAACATTTGTCCATGCTTATCTGGAGTGATTCATGATGGTATCACTTTCCCTGCCAGAGCTCAGGGTTCAGTACTTTCTGAGCTCCTGCAGAGTGGAATGTGAATGTGGCTCATTATTACAAAGAGGTTAAGATGATGAACTCCATGTTTTTTGTTCTTTTTTTTGTGTGTGTTTAGGTGTTCACTGCACTGTACTACAACTATAGCGTATAAGCTACAAATTCTGTATATACTCTATTAAGAAAAGAGTTAGCAATCTTACAAAACATTTATTCCAGAATGAAACTATACTTTTGCAATTTACAGGGACTTAAAAGTAAACACAGAACTTGCACAATATACATGATATGGAAGGGTCATTGCCTTTGTTGTCCTATTGTTTCCAACAATAAGGAATAGCTTAAGGGATATTCCTAACACTGAAGAGCAATTCTGTAAATTAGGCATTTACACCACAGCATCTATAGTCTCTAGTTATAGATATTCAGATATTCAAAAAAAGTATCAAGAGCTCTTAAATATAGCACATAAATAAAGTGCAGACTCTAAACTGTCTTACGTCATTCATTTTTCAACTTTTCACAATGGAGGTGACAAAATAATTTGACAAGATAACAGAGATTTAAACTAAGTCACCAACATAGTACTTATTTGGGGTTTTTTTTGGATGAAGATACAGTACTATTGGGCATTGCCAGTATGGGGTTCCATAGTTATTGTGATGGCCCTCATTATGCACCTTTATTTTGCCTATTTGAATGGGACTGCAGGACTGTTCTAAAGGTCAAAAGCACTACTACTACACCACTAGTCTTTTGCATCACAGCATGAGAAATCCTCTGCCCCAGGTTAGTGTTCCATTTACCACTGTTCAGTTGTCTTCTTACTTTTGAAAAGTTTGTTAAGAGCCACAATTAGGATGCCAAGCTTTGGCAGTTAATACCTGAAAGAAGGCACTGACTGACTGTCCCATAGTCATCAGCACACACCTGGTACCTTCCCTGCTCTGCCCAGCCTGCACTGCAACCCTCTTTAATCAGCTGACTTATCACTGAGATAAGTCTATGTTATGTTTAATAAAAGCAGGAATGCTGAAGCCAAAATCTCAGTCAGACCAACATCATAAAGTAGATAGCATTCCTGCCACAGGGCACTCATAACCTGGATAGCCTGGCTTCATACACAACTGATCCATTAGTTTTTTCCTGTGTTTGTACACACACTTACCCTTTGTTCCGCATTGAAAGCCACCAGCCAGCTTAAAGGAAAGTAATATTAGCCCTGTCTAAAGTCATTAACGCTGAAGCAGACTGGTTGATATTACTCTCGATTTGACCTCCATTCTTACCGGTAGCACTTTAGCCACACTTATTCAGTTCAATGGTAGAATGAAAGAGGACATGAATGTTACAATAAAAGCAGAATGGATGTATAGAAATGGAAAGGCAATGTGTTACATAGAAGTTTTCTTTTGATTAGTGTGTTATATTGAGGTTGATCTTAATCTGTAGTTACAGCCTCATGTACATCCCACTGACATAACAATATGACAGCAAGCAAATATGTGCAATTAAGTGATCCAAGTTTGATTGAATATAAGCACATTTATCTAAGTAGTAGCTTTGCCACAGCATGCACAGGAAGCGATTTGGTTCAAGTTAGTTCAGTAAATGGTATGAATCGGGCTGGGCGATAAATCAATTTTATCGATTAATCCGAATTCGTAGTTAAACACGATTTATTTTTGGTTAAAATCGGTTTTCTCTTGAACTTCCACAACACCGGTGCTCCCTTTGGGCTCCCGTAGGTCAGAATGCGCTGACCCCTCCCCCCGCCTCTCCACAGATAAACACAACATGGCAGCATGCCATGATGAGCTCATCCCCAAAAAAGGCACAGTGTCGTCGGTTGTTTGGAACTGGTTTGGTTTTGTGGTGTCCGACAGCGAACAAACCATGACCCACTGCAAGTTTGTTTGAAAGCTGTTGCAACCAAAGGTAGCAGTACGACCAATT